GTGAATCGCGAAGCAGATACTGGAAAACGATATTTCAATTTACTGTTGTCATGGGAACAGATAGAAATATCGCAGTTGCACTTACCTTAAAGGTGTAACGATGATTGAAAAATATCAACATTCTACGTTGTACAACATAAAACACTTTAATGCTTTACGTGAGTTTCAAACTTTTTAAACTAGGATATAAATTGTTTAGATATTCAATTTTTCTATACGACAATCGCTCATTGCGTATTTTTCCCATCCTCCCTCCGGTCAAGATTCTAAAGTGTGGTTTCGGATTAAAGTTTTATTTATTTTTTTTAACATTTATCTTTCTTTTAAATAAATAAAATCGAAATTTTATCCAAGTTAAAATAAATTAAAAAATTAACGTTATTGCGTAAGTTTGCATCAAAAACTTTATTAAAATGTAAAATAAAAAATAAAATTTCACTTATAAATAATCGATTAATTTAAAAAAAATCGATTACTTGCGAAGAAATTAATCGATTATTTTTAAATTAATCGAGTATTTTAAGAATAATCGATTAAAAAAAAGAAATTGACAAGGTAAAATAATTGATTGTTATACTGAAACAGAAATATTTAAATTTTATTATTATTATTATTTATTTATTCATTTTTAAAGAAAGAAAATCGATTATTTTTTTATGTAATCGATTAATATTTATCAGTGAATTAAAATAATTCAATAAAATGTCTTACGTTAGAAATATTTATCAAAGGTTAAAAAATACATAAACTCGACTCTTTTTTTTAAAAGAAAAATAAAAATGTCTACACACGAAAGAGGCCAATAAATTTAAATAAATTTTCATAAAAAAGAAGAGGAAATAAAAGAAAAAAAAAGGGAATTGAATAAATAAATAAAATATTAAGACTATTTTTCATTTATTTAATTTACCAGAGATATAATGTTTAATATAAAAAAGAAATAATTAAAAAATGTTCGTAATAAAAGAACGTGTTTAAGGGGTAAGATATGACTACAGAAGTAGGATTTTAGTAATTAATAAATTTATATAAAAAAATAGTAATAAAGAGACGATAAATATATCTTTAAAAATTACTTTTTGGATTATTATTATTTATTTATTTACTTATTTATTTTTGTAAATAATATTCTAAATTAGGAAAGGAAGGAAAGAAGTGTTTATAAGATGAGAAATAAATTATTTTTCCAAAACTTGGTGTGTGCTTTGTAAAGAAGAAATGCAAATGAAACGAATGTATTTTTCTCCATCCCGCATGTATCTATTCACATTGAGAAACGATACATTTTGTTGAAAGAGCATGGTCAACACACACACGTACGAAATGATTTTTGAACAAACAGTACGACCAAAGGAACGATTTTCCTCCTGAAATATTGATATAACTTGTCGGATTAATTCATGAATAATCCAAACAAAATGGAAATATTTCATGTAAAATGTATAGCAAACAAATAAAAAAAAGTCTCCATCTCGTATATTTATCTGAAATATTCCGAACGTATGCGTAACTTAACATCCATTTCTCTTTCTTTTATGTGTGTATGTTTTTTACAAGTATTTTTCATTCCTTGCACTTCAAAAGCTTCTCCTATCGATGCGTTAACTGTAACCTTTCTCAGAGCGTTTATGTATTGTTTCTGTGCACCGTTCTACGTGACGTAATGGCCTTTTGTTCGCTACTTGTGACATAGAGACCTTACATTGTTCACGTACGAGACAATCACCTTATTGCTAGCATAATTATCTGTCACGTTTAACGTCTATAAATTCCCAGAGTGCAGATTTAGTGAGGAATTAAGTACGTGTACGATACGAATTTTCCTTTCTAATTCTTTAACCCCGAGCTATATAATTAAACGAATCTCCCGGCGACACTTTCTGAACCAGTTCTGTTGTAGGATGCCTCCTCGTACCTCCGACATCACAAGATTCTTCATTCTACGAATTGTATCAGTAGGAGGTGCATAAAGTCGAGTTCCGTTCCTCGACTTTCCCTTCATTGCATTTTATTCTGGTTAGTTTCGGTCGCTGACCCCTCTTTACTTACGTGAGTTTTCGTTCCTGAAAAATTAACCGAAACGTTCATCATTAAGTGTAAAGAAGAAGTATGCATTGAGCGTGATGGTCTTAGAATCAAACAAGGTACGATTTATGATTATTTCCCTATTAACCGACCGTTTTTTTAAGTCGTTTACGTCATTTCCATTCATAAAAATTAACGTAGTAATCTAAAACACGTGCCATTTACAAATTAAACTGTGAATGAGCGAAATTGACAACTTTTTCTTGTCAATTTCCTTCATTCACAGCACGCGAACGTAGTAGTAATGTAGCGAAAGTATTTTTTTTAAATACGTTAATAAATTAGGAATTAATTTATTAACGTATTAAAGTATTTTTTTAAATACGTTAATAAATTAGGAATTAGTTTAATGAGTGTAAATAAAATATAATTAATTAATATTTATAATTTTTTAAACAATTAGAGAAAGCAATTTATTTAAAAAAAAAATAATAATAAAAGATTTTAAAAAATTACAAAGCGGAACATGTCGTACCCATAACCTGACATTCACGTGGCGCGAGAATTTTGAATTCATTCNTTAATTAATATTTATAATTTTTTAAACAATTAGAGAAAGCAATTTATTTAAAAAAAAAATAATAATAAAAGATTTTAAAAAATTACAAAGCGGAACATGTCGTACCCATAACCTGACATTCACGTGGCGCGAGAATTTTGAATTCATTCAGGGTTATCGCGGTCATTGACACGAGTCCTATGTCAAGACTACGTAATTCTTCCTGGTGCAAGAAGAAGTTTTATTTGTTTAACTTTTGAACATTTTCTTTACAAATTTCATTTGAAAAATTACCTGTTTAATCTGTAAATATTTAACTTAAATTTAGAGGCGAATTAATTTACTTTCTCCCCTCTAAAATACCTTATTTTAAATCTAATTAGAGAGTAGATTTATTAAATTTATAAAAATAAATTATTTTAAATTATTTAACGTAAGTCGCACGTCGTAACTTGTAATGTATCGTGTATACGTGGAAAAAAAATAATAATAAGTTTAATATAATTAGATCGTCTGTTTATCTGTCCGTTTATCTTCTCTCAATCTCGTATTTAGTTCCGCCAGAAAAACGCTAATATGATTATCTTTTCTGTACGTCCGCATCCCATTACCTCAATAAATTTCTTCTTGCGTAAAGAACTAAAGCTAGAGAAAGGAGTAAAAGCGATAAAATAATCAATTCAGACTTTCAATACCGTGTTCCCATTTCTGTCCGGGAGTAAGGAAAAAAAAAAGTTAACGTAATCAACACGTGAATCTTTCTCAGATTTTTGCTTAAGGAAGAAGGAAGGAAGGAAGGAAATCGTTGTTACAGTTGGCAAACGAGTGTTCTATTCGTAAAGTTTTTCTTGTATTTTTCTGATTTTTTCCCCCTTTGTAATCTTTCCTTCTGTCTTTGTGACTCTCTCTTGTATTCTTGTGACTCTTTTGTGATTCAATCTCGCGTGTTTGACTCTTTCTAGCACAGTTGTGTTTCGTTCTTGTGTGTTTGAGATTCAATCGTGTGTCTGTGATTCTTTCTAGTACCTTTATAATTCATTCTTGTGATTTTTTTGTGTCTTTTTGATTTCTTCTTGTATTTTGTGGTCCGTTCTTGTGTCTTTGCGACTGTTTTGTAAATATCTATCGATTTTAGTATGCTCAACGAAGGAATTTAATGTAAATGTATATCCTTCCAACACTTGTATATCAATCTTATTTCTGAAGAAGTGATGAAAGTATATTACTTTTCCATTTCATTTCAGAAGTATAAAAAAAAAAGAAAAAATGTAATCATCGTCGACATGCAAATATACGTTTGGACATCCGTCTGGCTGTCTGTCTATCGATTTCGCTTACTTTAAATAAACTTTATTAACTGTAATTAAGCCAATTTTTTTCAATTTGTTCACTTTTAAATGAAATCCTAAATAAACATTTCTCTATAAATCAAAAATTCCGGTAATAATCTGGCAATAATTCAGCCTCCCGATAAGGATTAATGCCACTTATTTCGCTTCTTACGCTCATTTTTTTAAGCACCACGAGCTATTTTTAACTAATTAATCCACTCAAACTTCTATATATTAATATAATTAAAATACTTTCGGGGTATACCGTAAATAGTTTTGCACTCTTCGATAACTTTAATCGATTAATCTACATCAATCAAGTTATTGACGTCAAAGGACGACTTGAAATTTTTCTCGAAATTATAAGGAACAATAAACTTCTCCGATTAACTGGGTTAGTTAATCCTTACCGGGATTAAGGGCGGATTAATCTCGTCACAAGTTAATCCACCGCTGATCATTAATCTAATGGGATTAGTGTAATCCGCAACGTTTATTTGCGTTAATATCCGATTAAATTAATCCTGGATCTAAATAATTCGGGATTAATTTAATTCCGGAATAATCCTTTAATTAATCCGGGATTAAATTACGGATTGCTTAGGAAAATTTTAAAAAGGAAACCGCCATTTTTTTCCTTATGAAGTTAAGAATCTGGTTCAAATCGAGTGGGATTAACGTAATCCTTATCATTCAGATTTCATTACTCATTTGATTAATCTAATCCTAATTCGTTAAAATTAAGGATTTTATAGGTTAATTAATCAACCATTGCCATTTTCCCTAAATAAAATAAGGTAAAACTGCCATTTCTCATTAGATTAAAGAGAAAATGAATGGGTAGATTAGTATAATCTTCAACCCTTAACAGCTTTAATCTAGGATTAATTAAAGGAATTTAACTTAATTTTAAAGGAACGAACGTTGAAAATTTGGAAAGGAAATGATAATTTACCTAATTAGATTAAGGATCCGGCTCAAAAATGGCGATTAATCGAACAAGATTAGTGTAATCAGCAGCGCTTAAACTACATTACTACCCGATTAATTAATCTTAATTAAGGAAATTAAGGATAAGGATTAGTGTGGGATATAATTCGCCTCACTTAATTTACATTAATCCTAAGGAATGATTTAATTAGAGGCGACTTAAATCCATTGGTTGAGAATCAAAAAGGAAAAATCGTCATTTTTCCTTATCGGCATAAGGATCTGGTTCGAAAACCCGGATTTAATTCCCGTTCAGGGGGGTCGAAGCGTTACTAAGGAGTGACGAAAGGTGTGTATTGTGATAAAAGGATGCAGAGCGAAGCAGTAAATCCGGATTAATCAAGGTGTACAGTTCATAATGTACGAGACTCGTTTACAGTAAAGAATGGTGCCTTTAATATATATATATATAAATTTAAAAGTAAGTATTTTGTGTAGAGAATAACACCCTTTACGCCATCTTTGTTTCTTTTTTTTGCAGTATTTTTACTGGATTTTTATCGTTTTCCTGTGTTTCCATCTACTTAATGCATACTCGAAAAGCAAGGCAGAATATCCCGAGGGATATTACGCATTCGAGGAATCCACTTCCATCTACAAAAAACCACCCAAAGTCAGAAAACCACCCTACTTTAAGGCTGATGTACCATGCCCCGGGGAGGATCCCATTGGACGATTTTCGCCACGTGATACGCTTTGCGGTGACCTGAACAAAGGTTTCATACCACGCAATCCTATGGGACAGACGCCATTTAAAGAACCCTATCCATTGTAAGTCAAGCGAAATTATTCCCTAGTGCCATCTATTGTTATTTTAGAGAATTAACGAGTAGACGTTATACGACGGGCGGGATTAAAGCATTAGCGCTTTTTTTTTGGTTGTTGTTTCCTCGGTTTTTAACGTTTAGTTTACGTGTTACGAAGACAAATATAATAAAATTAATGCTAATTTGAGTAGCTGTGTTACCAGGGGATTAAAGTAATCAACTAAAGTAATAACTTTCTGTAATCAATCAGCGGGTAGTATCATTTTTTTTAACGTTAAATTACGAATTTATTTAGAAATTTCTTGTTACTGACGATGTCAAATTTGAAATTTTACAGCGACGTAATCAAGAACAAGACGTTAAAGTTCCTAGCCAGGTTACTTCCCTATCTCAAACAAGACATTAACATACCAAAGGTTGCTAGATTCGTAGGTGCTCCTATATCCTATAGAGAACCAGGAGGATACGACTATCATCAAATACCTCTACAGTATCACAGAAATCGACGCTCTGTTACGGATAAAACAGTAACAGAAGAGACAGCGACGACAGAAACATCTAACGTAACGTCACGAGGTTTATGTGACGATGGATCCGGAATGTAAATCAATTTTTATCTTTTTGATCCGTTTACTAAGGCTACTGAGGCCTCTCTTGTATAATATAATAATTAAAGGACTAAGAGCAGTTGAATACCCATGACGCGTAGAGGCCCAGAGTTTCGAGGGCCTCAAAATTGTATACCGCAATTTATTGTTTTATAGCCACAATTACATGCTATTAGTTTATGATATAAAATTATAGACTATAGAGGGGCCCCAATCTTGTGCTTAGAGGTCACGGAAGGTTTTAATCCACCACTATCGACGATTAATCTGAAATGCAGGGCTGGATTTAAGTATACTAAATAAGGTATAGTTTAGTGCCTCACTGTTTTTTAAACTTATTATTATTTGGTAAAGAGAGGGGCCTTTTATGTTATAAGTTATAGGCTAACTTAGACACAACTAGATATGTTTCAAGGCCTCTAATTACACGAGATTCTAGGCAAAAACTTAAGTTTTTCGTTTCTAGTTGTAAACAAATTAATATTTAGTAGTTTAAAAGACACTNAAAGTCTCCATCTCGTATATTTATCTGAAATATTCCGAACGTATGCGTAACTTAACATCCATTTCTCTTTCTTTTATGTGTGTATGTTTTTTACAAGTATTTTTCATTCCTTGCACTTCAAAAGCTTCTCCTATCGATGCGTTAACTGTAACCTTTCTCAGAGCGTTTATGTATTGTTTCTGTGCACCGTTCTACGTGACGTAATGGCCTTTTGTTCGCTACTTGTGACATAGAGACCTTACATTGTTCACGTACGAGACAATCACCTTATTGCTAGCATAATTATCTGTCACGTTTAACGTCTATAAATTCCCAGAGTGCAGATTTAGTGAGGAATTAAGTACGTGTACGATACGAATTTTCCTTTCTAATTCTTTAACCCCGAGCTATATAATTAAACGAATCTCCCGGCGACACTTTCTGAACCAGTTCTGTTGTAGGATGCCTCCTCGTACCTCCGACATCACAAGATTCTTCATTCTACGAATTGTATCAGTAGGAGGTGCATAAAGTCGAGTTCCGTTCCTCGACTTTCCCTTCATTGCATTTTATTCTGGTTAGTTTCGGTCGCTGACCCCTCTTTACTTACGTGAGTTTTCGTTCCTGAAAAATTAACCGAAACGTTCATCATTAAGTGTAAAGAAGAAGTATGCATTGAGCGTGATGGTCTTAGAATCAAACAAGGTACGATTTATGATTATTTCCCTATTAACCGACCGTTTTTTTAAGTCGTTTACGTCATTTCCATTCATAAAAATTAACGTAGTAATCTAAAACACGTGCCATTTACAAATTAAACTGTGAATGAGCGAAATTGACAACTTTTTCTTGTCAATTTCCTTCATTCACAGCACGCGAACGTAGTAGTAATGTAGCGAAAGTATTTTTTTTAAATACGTTAATAAATTAGGAATTAATTTATTAACGTATTAAAGTATTTTTTTAAATACGTTAATAAATTAGGAATTAGTTTAATGAGTGTAAATAAAATATAATTAATTAATATTTATAATTTTTTAAACAATTAGAGAAAGCAATTTATTTAAAAAAAAAATAATAATAAAAGATTTTAAAAAATTACAAAGCGGAACATGTCGTACCCATAACCTGACATTCACGTGGCGCGAGAATTTTGAATTCATTCAGGGTTATCGCGGTCATTGACACGAGTCCTATGTCAAGACTACGTAATTCTTCCTGGTGCAAGAAGTTTTATTTGTTTAACTTTTGAACATTTTCTTTACAAATTTCATTTGAAAAATTACCTGTTTAATCTGTAAATATTTAACTTAAATTTAGAGGCGAATTAATTTACTTTCTCCCCTCTAAAATACCTTATTTTAAATCTAATTAGAGAGTAGATTTATTAAATTTATAAAAATAAATTATTATTATTATGATCATAATATAAATTTAATGCGAAATTGATATGTGTTGAGATATATATATATATATATATATATATACGAAGTGGCTTAGAAATCAATTAACTATGTTTTGTTTTATGCGGACTGCATTTGTTAAAGCCATTACAATTTTGACGAACCTGTATTTGAATAAGACAGAAATTCTGGCATTACAGTAGTACTGACTATTGTGCAGTGAAGTAAATACGAGTACCAGAACCTTATGTATCCTATTAGCCATTAAGAGTTTGTCTTATGTATGCAAAATGTCCGAGAAGTAAGTTAACCATGTTTTATTGGATCTTCTCATCTCTACTTAAAAATATGAATATGTTAAGGTTATGTAATTAGCATATTTAATAAGGCAATAGTTTAGTTTTTACAAATGTTAACTAACTTTTGCTCATCCTATATACTAAAGTAAATATAAACAACCAAATATACGTATTCATTATTTAGTGCCACGCGATTTATAACAGAAAATGAATAATTTAAAGCTTATAAATCAAAAGTAATTAAAAATTATAATTATATACTTTAACCAACTTTATTTAATTATTTAACTTTACCTCTTATTTAAATATTGTAAATATAACTGAACAAAACTGTGAGATAAATCCCTTAAACTATAATATCCAATTCATTTTGAACAGAAAATTAAAATAACAATGCGATTGTAATCGCAGAATCCTCGAAAAATGTATAATATGAAGTTGGATAATCAATATTTATTAATTTAATTAATAATTATTTTTAAACACATGTAATCTTTCTAATTGGTTTGTTGATCTGATGAACTCCTAACTAGAAATTTTAATAAGTCTAGTCGTTTAATTTTTAAGGATAATCATCTTTAACTAGCAAATATCAAATTACTACTCTTCTTTATCTGATAAGGAACTGTTGGGATAATTTTTATCTTTAGTTTCTCTGCAGAATCTATTTTTGGTGATACGTAATTGCTTCTAAATTATTATGGACCGATTCAATTATTCGGCAGCACTGTTAATTATATTACCGTGTCACCGACGTGTCGATCTAATCATTTGACTAATATTATCTTTTGTTTCGCTTCATCAAATCTCTCCATTAATAAGCGATCTCTCTATCTGAAGTGAATCTTCCAATCTAGCTGGAGATTTATTTAATTAATTTATCCTCTTAATTAATAATTAAGTGATTAATTTAATTTTTTGGCAAGAACTTAAAAGATTTTATAACTAAAATGTTTTTACATGCATATAAAGTGTGTTTGAATAAGACAATTAATTAAGAAGCTAGAGTTTGTAGCATAATTTGGAAATGGCTCAATGGCCAAACAGTTAAGGTGTCAGGCTAATGCGATTTACACGAGCAACTTCTAGAAATTTTTCATGCCCGTCCCTGATATATCGTGAGCCGACCCTTACTGACCAACCCGTTGTAGGCCTGGCCTAACCCAAAATTGGTTCGAAAAAAGGCCCTCTACTCATATATTGGAACCTTCAACTATTTACAGACGAGCTATCAGATTTAGTTTTAAATAATGTAATCAGAATGTCGCATTGTAAATAAACTACGGTCTAAAATACATCATAATTAAAAATGTAATATTATATTAATGTTCATATTTATTTATTTAAACCGATAAAAGTTTATTTTTAAAATTTAAAATGACATACAAAATATTTTAAAATAAGATTATCACGATACTTCATTAACCGGTATGTGAAATCTTCCCCTTCGGCAAGGATGAAGCGAGACGACGGATGTGGGATTTTCTAATATTTGATTCATTCTATTGACGTATTCTTCTTCTGCTCTTTTATGAGCTTCCCATTCCTTTATCTTCTCCATTTCTTCTTCCTGCTTTGCTTTCTTTATGTCTTCTATTTGACTCTGTCATATAAATTGAGATTAAAGATTAGATTCCTGGCAAGAAAAATGAACTTTTTGCAATCTACATTTAAAAGAAGTCCTTTTTTGGCTTCCTTTGTATAAAAACTAATTGTGAATATTTTCATAATTTAAATTTAATTTAAAAATATATTTTTTATAAGAATGTAACTCATCATTCTTTTTTGAGAGGGGAAAGATTAAGTTTTTTTGTAGGAGCATTTTCTTCTATTTTTAATTTTATTGTAAGATTAAATCTGTAAATAATGAATACATATGTAAAAATTTAAATTCTGAACGAAAGTAATTTATTTAAGAATTTCTGTATTTGTTAAATTTTTGTAGCTTTAAAATTATTTCTAGTATTGTTTTAAATCATGTTTCAAGTTAGTTAAAACTGTAAAATTTAAGATAATATGCTGTGAAAACAAAAGTATAACTGAGTTTTGAATGTGACAATGTAAATTAAGATTTATTTTTGCTTGCAACAAAGTCTCAGCTATATGATATATCTACCCTGACAGGAGATGGCAACTAATACCTGATTTGAAGCTGATATAGACTGTCTAGTTAATGGTTGAAGGCCAATGCCGATTTCTGTCCAGTTTTCTGAATATCAGTAAAGAAGCAAGTGCTAATAGCTGATTGATAATGGCACTGATAATTCACGAGGACTTTATCTTATCTGTTCTTGAGAAAGATCCATCATAACTATGTCCCAATCCGAAATGTAATAAGTTAAATCTAAAAACAAGTCATACCAGAAGAGTCTTTGTAGAATTTATAATCTTGACTGCAACAAAAATAACTGAAGATAATTTTAAAGTTATAAAAATGCTCATTGAAAACATAAATTCTTTATTATGCTTTTCAAGAACCTCCCTTTATTTCAGATGGATCTGGTTCCACTACTGGTCCCTATTCTTTGCAGATATGCAAGTTCAACAATACACGTTAACTATCCTGCATTCCATTTATTTCGACGTGTTTAGTGTAAATAATCTGTCAAGAAATTAAAAATATAATGCTTCCGACAATCGACTTCTCATTTAACTTCTGAACGTCGACACTTACATAATTTTATTATGCGGTAAAACAATTTATATAACAAGGAAACCTTTTAATTTTTTGATTAGTTTCATTTATGTTTTTAATAATAAAATCGATCAATAAAGCGCATAGAATAATAAATATCATCCTTTTTTCTNTAAATTTTTTTATAATGCAATAAATGTAGAACTACATGAAAATATAATAAATAGTTAATAATGTGATCATTATATTCTACAATAAAAAACATTATAATTACACATAAAGTATGTTTATTGACAATGGAGCATTATAATAAATAATTGTAGTATGTAATATAATTAAACATAAATCTATTTATAAAATGGGGTTCTAAGAGTGATTCCTCTTTTCTCCAATTTTTTACCAAAAAAAATATGTATAAACGATTCAGTTAAAAAAAGTGAAAACAAAGATTAATTATTATGATTTATTTATTTAGAAAAAAATCTTTGCAGTGCGCTTTTTAAATTCGACAAAAAGTTTTAATTTGTTCAATGCAAACATTTAAAAAACCAAAAGTTGTAAAAACATCACTTTCACGTTTAAAAATACTTCTTTTTTGATAGTAAAAGTAAATGATTGATGTGAAAGAGAAAATTCCCCTCTTTTTTTTTTATTGTATACACTCAAATGTATTTTTTTAAACAGCTGTTATCAGAAATGATTATTACTTTTACATTGATTAGCAATTACCACGCTGGAGTTGGAGGACGATGACAAATGATCGCGCAATCAAAAGTCAAGAGAATAAAAAAGAAAAAAGATGTCTTTTGGGAACTAATCTTTCTACTTTTTTTTATTTTTAAAAGTTTATAATGTATGACTTTTATTTAAGTGTAACAATGAGAGCTTAATGTACATAAATAGTTAAAATTAATATGTAAATTTATTTTTTTAAAATGTTAATTTAAACAATTATTAACTTACCAAAAGATCTTTTTGATGTCGTAGTTGAGTGTCTTTCCACTTTTTTACTTTCTCAGCTTCTTCTTTTTTATATTCTTCCATTTTTTTGTTCATTTCGAATGCTTCTTTTTGAATTTCTGCGCGATGATTTTTTACGGAATCGACTGAAATTCAACGTAAAGATTAATTCTTCGTATTTATAAGTTTTTATGTACGTTACTAGACTGTTTTATGGCAGGAAAATATATTAAATTATTAGAATTTAGAATACTTAAACAATTAAAATTACATTTATATTATTTATGATTGATTAATTTGTCACTAGTATATTAATTATCTGAAGTAGGAATAAGAGCATTTGAAGTAATTTTGACAATCATATATACATTAAATGCATTTTCATATAAATCTATTGAGACAACTGTACAATTCTTTGTAGTAAATTTAAATGAAAATATGCTCCTCACAACTTTTGAGAGCTTGTATAGGGCCCAGGGTGGAGTGAATACTTTTCGCCATATCTTTGTTTGAATTTTTTCTTTTGCTATATTATAACTAAATGCTGTATTAGATTAATCATTACGAATAATGAATGATGCAAAAAACTTTAAAAACAACCTGTTATCTTAAGCATCATACTTCAATTAAATGAAAAAAATGAGAAATTGGTTTATGATAACTGAATTACAGGGGTTTTGACGAAAGCATAAGTATCCGGATAGGATGGCAGCAGCGTGTCATCTGAAGGTCTGAAGTATGAGTCTAAGTTGGGTTTTCAGAAATTTTTAAGGACAGTTCCACCCATATATGTTGAGTTTCATTCCTCAGCATCTCATCATTCTTTTATCTAAACTCAAGACAAGTAGAAAGAACTTTATCCAAATGGAAAAAGAACAAGCAAGAGTGAAGCTTCCAGAAGCAAAACCTGACAACTACTAACCAGATGATGATTCAGGACAAAGGAATCAAGAAATATAAAAGCACTGAATCTTTCCTTGTTGAACAGCAAATAGTTGTTCAACAAGGAAAAATTCAATGCCACTCTTCTAGTTCATTAACTAGTCAGCTTCTCTTCTAGCTTGACAATGATCAGCTGATCATCTAGCTAATCAACAAAAAGAAAATTGCCTTGACTATGCTATTTTATCTTCCTTGTACATAATATGTTATGGAAATAAAGACTGCACGGATTCAAATATGGACTTTTCAAGTGTTATTAGACTCTCTTAATTTGTAACCATTTAACTGATGGAAAGTTTTAATACACTAACTAAAATTGAACATAGGAAAGATAAAACTGTAAGTGATAGCCATCCTTCCAGTTTTATCTTCTTTCTACAAACATTTTTAGACATCCTATCCTATGCTTCATTTGACATAGTTTCTTTTTAGTGTAAACAAAGTAAAAATGTAATCATTTTGACAATTTACTTTTTGTGTATCATTTCATATATACATATAGATGCAGATTAGCCACAGTAGTATAAAATGCTGTAGTTGTTTGTTGGTCATCTCTGTGCAATCTTATTTTCCTATAAATACAGTTTTAACTAAGTAATCTCAATTTAGGGAGAAATAATCCCTTACATTATGATAGTTTCTACTACTTAATTAGATCACAAAAGTGGGAATCTGCCACAAACAGTTCTAGAAACTTACATTTTTGTCGAATGTCTGCAACTATCGCATTGTAGCATTCCCACATAAGTTTATTTCGAGCTTCTCTTTCGGCGGCCCACGCACGCTCTTTTTCTTTCCATACTTTATCATTTTCTTCCTTGAAAAATTTTACCATTTCTAACCCTCTTTTCTTCTCTTCTTCTAATTCGTTAGCCAAATAATTAAAATATTGTAATTGTTCTTGATGTAATTTTTCTTTCGACTGAAAATCCAAACATTAAATTATACTTATGTAATCAAATAATCAAATTATTATATAATTAACAACATACAAACAATTACATTAACCGGAAAACTTAATAAACTTATATATTTGAAATTTTTAAAACAAATTATCAGTGCAAAGACCACGTTAAGTGTAACATTAACTTGTATCATTTAAACAAAAAGTTAATGTTATAAATATGTTGTAGTTTAATTTATCTGAAAATCAAATAAAGATAACATAACAGAAACTAGATTTATTGATTTTCCAATAAAGGTACCAGCACATGAAGGTTACATCACTGCTTGTAATTTTACCCATTAAAAAGTGCTTGAATCAATAATGATATCATTCGTTACGGATAAAGGAGACAGGGCACGATGTCTCAATATTTTATATTATTTATAAAATAAAAAGTTAAAATAACTAATATCCAATTTATTCTTATTTATCATGTAAATACTAATTTTTATATGTTTGATCAATGTTTCCATTTCTATTGTTTTTTCACGAAAATTTCTATCCAAGTAATTTACGACCGTATCCGTAGCTACAGATCAAGAGGTTAGAGTTAGAAGTTAACCAATTACCATTCACTTTACTGTTAGTATGCAAACATTTACTTGATTTTTATTTGTGAATATAGTCATTATTTCAACAAAAATAAATAACAAAATAAATGATAAAGCCTTTTATGCTATGTGCCATATCTCTGCCATAGTAAAATAAATAATCTCTTTACATTAAGAAGTCAGTTCAGTAAAGTATAGGTAATCGGTGGTGGACTATTCATTGGTTTAGACATTACACAGTCCAACCCCTTTGCATTATAAAAATCTTATCCCCAGTATTACAAAAGATAACAGCATAATTTAAGTTATAGAACATGTCAAAATCAGCATAAAACACTTGTCTGGTTAAGATATTCAAAGGATAAACAACAAAAAACTGTCACAAAATAAGTGGCAAAACTGTGTGATGCTTCTCTGCTTGATTTTAAGCACTTAAAGCTGTGTATATTTTTATAATAAAACTGTAAATAACAATCATTATTTGCATTTTAAAAATGTTTTTGTATTTTGTTATAATTCATTTATTTTAAATACAAAATGCAACAATTTAATTTATTAAATATGTATCAATCGTTTTCTTTGTAGTATTTGTTTTTAGAAGTTAAATTATTTTGACCCAATTGAATTTGAACATTTTTGATTCGTTCCTTTATTATCCCCGCTCTAAATAAGTACTCTATTTTTCTGAATGAGCCAGACTGATTGATCGGAGTATATATTTTTATTTTCTGAACAAGAGGATGAAGTAGGTAGATCGCACACTTTTTAGTTGGACAAACTTTTCTGGAAAGGTGAAACTGAAGTGCAATAGATGTAGAAAAAAAATATGTAGATGTAGAATTTTATCGCTTTCCCTTTTTCCTCTTATTAAATATTTGTTAAAAATTATTTCTTTATACAAATAACTATTTATTTAAGTTAAATATTAAAAATACTAACTATAAAAGTATTTGGGTAAATGCCCGGGGCTCCTTTTAGAGTTCAGAGTAGGGTAACCCCCTATGAGTGTCTCTGACACTCCCATAAAATGACTTGGTATTTAATTTTGCCATAGTTGAGAGTCAGAGTCAGCCTACTAAAATTATCAAGAGTTGGAGTTGGAGTCGGAATCAAGTGTTTTTTTACCGACTCGGAGGGTGGCAATGCAATCCTGCCCTCTGAAAAGCACACGGGAGCCCCTTAGAATAAGCATGTAGTCTATCCCTTGACTGAGTGTTGTAGTCCTGAGTTGGATGGGTGAAACACATTGTATCCATGCCCCTGGTTTGGATAAATTAAATGATAAAACTTGTTTGAAATTAAACAGCATAACAAATTCACTTCAATAATTGTTTGCGTATGTTAATTTTCTACTTATTTTTCTCGTCTAGACACAGACCTAATTTTTAAATCTTTTAGAAAAAATTATATTATTAATTTAATATTCTCCAGCTTCTGGCAAAAGTTCAAATAAAAATTAAAATATTTTTGAAATTAATTTTTCTTTATACAGTTTTCTATTTTCAAATCTCCACTCTTTACGTTTTAAATATTTACATTACATCTGGTCTTCACTAAGTATAAAAATTCATAATAAATTAGAATTTACTGTTGTGTAGTAAAAAATTAATTGAGATAGTGAAAAAAATAAAAAGTTTAAGAATAAAACTGAATCTCCAAATTGGATAAAACAGAAATATTTAAGTAAAAAATAGTAAAAAGACCACGGCTGGCATTAATTACATTTAATAAATATATAAAAATGTCGAATTTTATATATTTATTAAACAAAAATATTTAGCCACAAGACTCAAGATCAGTAGATCACATTCAATTGTAGGATAATACAATAGCACAATCAAAGAATAAAGAACCGTTGCAATTATTAAGCAAAGCTAACTATACGCAGCAGGAAAGTAAGCATCTGTTCGATGCAGAACATTTTCAGGGGTACAATTTTTCAAAAATAATTCTATAAAGAATATAAATTATAAGTTCTATCTTTTAAAAAATCATGTTTTGTACTTAAAATAAATAATTAAATAGTGTTTTTCTGCATCAAATTTTAAAATGTGAGCGAGGCAAACAACTTTGTTTGCTTGGAATGAAAAAAGTCTTCATCTAATCCTGCTATAAAGGTAAATTAAAGAAAAAAGTAAAATTTATTATCTACTTTTAATACATAATTAAAAATAAATTATTATTATTATGATCATAATATAAATTTAATGCGAAATTGATATGTGTTGAGGGCATTGCTGGTCTGAGATCGAAACAAGATTACTAAAGACAACTATTTATAAGGAATGGGACCTGATCTCGTATTTATTTTCTAAATTATTTCTTTTACGTTTAGTTTTGATGCATTTTATTTAGTTACAGAGAGAAATTTACAATGTTTCCATCAAAATTAAGTTAAAACTGAACTTATTGGAATTCTAGTTAGTAATTTGCCACCATACAATGCATGCAGTTTGTTTTTCTCTGATCAAATTTAAAGAATTGAATGAAATGAATTATAGAAAAATAATGGCATGTAATATATAAAATTTAATACTTATTGATTAAATATGAAACTTTGGTATGCAAGAAAATGTAAATGAATATGGGTGACTGAAACTATTGTGACATCACTTGCAATTATAAACAAATGAACAAAAAAACTGTTACGACGAAACAAAGTTTTCTAATCACAGCTTTGTAGCTGTGACTTGAGAGATGAAGGTGATAAACCTACATTTTCTTTTGTATCAGATAATGGAAGCTTAGGTCATTAGTTTGAATTTAGAATTCTTCGTTTAATATTAATAAATTTTAGATGTTTTTAATTCATTTTTGTTAAGGATTTTCTTTATTTTTAAACTTAATGGATGATTTAGATATTTTTGATCAGTTAAAATAAACTAAATAATAATTGTTCCCCCCAAAAATGTAAGCCCAGATCTAGCACTTTGCCAACTCTGGATTATGATATCATTTCTTCTTAGGTTCCTTTGTATTCTAAGTAATTTTGACTGTCAATTATCTTCAGTGACCTTATAAGTTTATCATGCTTTGTATACTGTTAGATAAATGCACTTTATTTAGAAACTTTCTAGAAATATTTTGACTTTGTAACATTCACTTAATGTTGCCGCTCTGTAGTGTAACAACAGATGCTTTGATGAAGGTCTAATGCTTCTAGATTTTTGTAAAGTATCAATGACCCATAGACAAAAAGACTACAGACACTAAATATATATATATATATATATATATAATAAATTATGAACAAACTGATATTTAAACTAAACTTTACCTGCTTATCCATTTTTCTTGTTTTATTTTTCTCATCTATTAGGTTTCTAAAAGTTATATAATATTCATTTAATATATCTTCCTCTTCCTTTTGCTTTTGTCGAATTTTATTCTTAATTACTAAACATTTATCCAAATCCCGTCGCACCTTTTCTTGAGATTTCAACTTTTTCTCGTGATTCCAAATCTTGTCGAGCTTCATTATTTCCCTTTGTTGTTTCTGAAAAAAATAGACTTTTATTAGCTGCAGATTCTCTTATATTAATCGATCATTATTCACAATTCAGAACTCTTGCATCAAAAACAATATATGTTTATATTGCTAATATATGCCAATGTTTACATCAGGATTTTCTAAACTTTGTGCAGTAAGTACTACTTCCAAACTCTGAAAATATGTAGCAGCACTAGTTAAATTCCTAATCTAAATACTAATACAGATAGCCCAAATTAATTGTATTGAGAACTAATAAAATTCAAGTGATTAACTCTGATAAAAAAACCACTTTAATAAGAAGTACAAATCATCTGCAGAAGAAATCAATTTGGATAATCGGAGTTCTCGAAATATAATGTGCGTACCACAATCAATCTGCAAGCATGTACCGGGTAGTCTGTAGACTGACCTAGTCATTTTTCTTATATGAAATTCTATGCAGTTTAGCCAGAGGAAAGAAAAAAATATATATTTTCATATATTGCATATCCCTTACTGAATAAACAAAATGTTAAGGCACATATCTAAGGTAAAACTTACAGGATAAGTGAGTGGGTCAAATACATCCACAGATTAAATAACTTTGAAAACGACTGACTTATATCATTTGTGTCTACTTTGAACATACATAAGCTATTTTTTTTCAAGCTCTGATGGTCCATAAAAAAAAAAAACAAGTATAAATAACAAAGATAGGCCCTAACGTTGTTTTGAAGATCATCATTAGTCTCAAACCTCTGCCCTCCTAGCCACTTTTCCTGTTCAGGAAAGAGGTTGAAGTCGCTCGGTGCTAAATTGAGGCTATATGCTGTGTGTTTAAAGGTGGTGAACACTTCCACCAAGCTTGTAACTTTTTAATGTGCGAAGACTTCCACCTCTTTCCTGAACTGAAAACGTGGCTAGCAGGGCAGAGGTTTGAGACTAATGACAATCTTCAAAACAACGTTAAGGCCCATCTCAAGTCATTGGTGGCAATATTGTATGACAAGGGGATGGAAAAGCTCATCCACAGATACGACAAAACCTTGTATTTTATTACAAGTTTTATTTATTTTATTATGTATCTGAAAGGTAAAAATCATTTTATGACATGTTTTATAACTCATATATAAAACTAAAGTACTTTTTCTATTATTTTGACTAAAAATAGGAATTAATGAATCATTTAGCCATTTATTCACACAAAAAAATTCAATTTAATAATTGATTTATATTTAATTAAATCCTTTTAAAAATTATTTAATAATTAGTACTACAAATTTTAACTGAATTAAACTTTTTCACTTGAAAAAAAACAAAAAATGACTGAAAGCGGTTGAAGTGGTCCTTGAACTTTAAAAGGCAAAACATTTTTATTAAATTTTTAATTAAGAAAAGAATTTTTAATATAGGAAGAATGTAAATAAAAGGTTTTACGTGTTAAAAATTTTAATTATATTTAGGATTTTTAAAAATGAAAACCAGTTTTTTACAATATTTTTATCTTATTAATTACATCAAAACATCTTCAAGATGATTGTGGTGATGTTCACTGAATTTGTTTATGAGTTCAATTAGTCTTATTGCTCATTAGAAATTTTTTTGTAATTAAAATCATTTATATTTATATTTACATATGTTAAGTTTGAATATTTTCTATTACAATAAGTAGATTCTACTGTTACTTTTTTTAAGTAACATATATAACTTAACTAAATGGCAATTATAGTATCATTTTAATTTATCTTTGTATTTTTGTAATAATTTATATTATTTGAATAAATTTAAAGTATAATTTCCCTCAACAAAACACACATGTTTTATATTGTTTTTAAAATTATCATCATCATCATCTTTATTAAGAATTAGTTATTAAAATGCAAAAGTAATAGAATTTTGACAAACCTCAAGTTCTATTTCTTCTTTATCTAACTTTTGCAATTTTTTCTTCCTCTGTTCCTCCTCAAAGTGTGCTTTTTGAATCAAAGCATACTCAATATTTTTCTTTCTACGATTTTCTTCTTCGAATCTAATCCTTTCAGATTTAATTTCTGCATCTTTCTGCCAACATTTTGCAAATATATTTTCCCTTTCCCTCATCTCTTCCTCCATTTTAGCTTTAAGAATGAGCTGCTGTTTTCGATCGTTTGAAACTTCTTTACATATCATCTTACTGATTATCGGATCCAATTCATGGCAATTTTCTCTATATTTAATAAAAAATAATTAAATATAGAGAATTAAATTAAAATAATTAAATTAAATTAATTAAATTAAATTAAAATGATTATCAATTTATGCTTTTAATTCTTTTAATTTCACAAAAAAAAAAAAAAAAAATTCAATTATTAAAATTTAAATTGATATGCATGATTTTAACATCTTACCTCCATTGTTGATCTAACTTTTCTTTGACAATTTGTAGTCGTTCTTCTTCTTTCTTTTCAAGTAAACATTGCAATGAATAAAACATTCTTGTTTTACGTTCTGCCGGAGTCTCTCCTTGCTGTTCGATCTCTTGAAAATATTTATTTTTTTCATCTTCATACAACTGACGCAATCTAACAGAGAAAATTAGCTATAAATATCATAAAATATTACAAAATTTATCATATAAATTCTTTTATAATGCAATAAATGTAGAACTACATGAAAATATAATAAATAGTTAATAATGTGATCATTATATTCTACAATAAAAAACATTATAATTACACATAAAGTATGTTTATTGACAATGGAGCATTATAATAAATAATTGTAGTATGTAATATAAGTAAACATAAATCTATTTATAAAATGGGGTTCTAAGAGTGATCCTATCTTCACTTGGGATCCCTAAAATTTAGGGATCCTTTGATATAGGAAACAGTTAAAGTTTCTTTAGAAAATAGTAAAAAATCTGTTTTTGTTTTATTAATTTTATTCGTGTATTTTTTTAATTGTTTTAGGTGTTAGTCTTGTTAAGTTTGTAGGTTATGTGAACAAAGATTACACAAAATGTCTAATGGAAGGTTGGTGCTAGAAAAGGAGAGTAACAGGAAATCAAAGTAACTTGTTACCGGTGCAGTCAACAATTTTCTTATGTAACAGAAAAACTTGATACAAAATTGCCACAACACAATACAATACACACAGACATTACATTCACCAACTTCAGTTGTATTCTAAAGCTAGGAAGAGGAGGTCTTACATGTGATTAATTCAGGTTATATCTGATATCTTGGCTCCTATAGTTCATTAAAGATTTTAAACTGAATAATTCAGTAGAATCCTACAACACTATCTGAATTCCTAGAGGCTCTATTTAAATATTTAAACAACTCTTTATCTAAGGGATGAAGCCACTTTCTGGTCTGAAAACTATCCCCACCATTCATTGAGTTAAAGATGGAATTTATATTTTTAAATCAAATTTAATAGCTCAAATGATACCTGTCTCTTCGTTCTTCCAACCAATCATTTCTGTTTTTTAATGCATCTTTAATTTTATGTTGGGCAATATTGGCAGTTAATTTCTTTTCTGCTTGAATATACCATTCACCGTAGAACTGTTTCTTCTTATTTTCACTCACATACTGCTCAATTTCATATCTATTATCTTCTCTCTTAGATAACATTTCATTTCTGTGCAACTGTTTGAGTTTTGCATAATCATGAAAATGTATCTAAAGAAACAAAAATATTTCAGAATTTTCTAAATAATATAATAATAGAAAATCACAATATAAATAAAATAGATTAATAAAGTATTTACTCTTCCAAAACTGTGAGGCATGGACCCAGGAACATCTTTTCTTATGTGAAGTAGAGTTCTCAGATTCAAATCCATTTTTGAGTAAATCATCTAATTTAATTTCTTATTATGATTCAAGATAATTATCACATAAATCTACAAATTATTTAAATTAATGTAAGATTAAATAATCAAAACAACTTGATTACTATTAACTATTAAGATTTCAACTCAATGAAAAGCTAATACTGGAGAAAAGCCCAAAAAAATTCCAAGATTTATGGAATGATAAAGATAGTATTGATATTATGACAAAAAGTGAAGCATTTGGAGTTCCAATTATTAATTAATGCCTAAAGTAGACGACCTGAGGCAGTTATAGCATCAACCTACAGCTTTGGTGACTCTGGGATTGAATCCAGGTGATCAACCCCAGGAGGCAAGTTCATCCTTCATCAGTCACCTCCATTGTGGGCCTGGCTGAACCCATAATATGAAAAGGCCTTCTTAGTGCTGAAAAAGTTTAGAAGTAAAATTTTGAAGCACCAAATACACGCCATGTATTAACTCTTGACAAATCTTCTTTCAGCAGAAGTTACTTTTAGATAATTTATAAACACGTGACTATATATACAAATGACCTATAAGTAATTTCTACTATTTTAATTCATTCAACATTAAAAATAATTAAAAATCAACTTCTAATTTTATAGTTAATCCTGAAATTCTCCTAAGCCATATTTTACTATAAAGAATTTTATTAATAACAAATTTATCAAAATTAAAATCCATCAGCATGGCAGCCGCCATCTTGAGAGACAACACTCCCTATTGGCAAAAAATAATAATAATAATTTAATTTTCCAGAAATGTATATCTTTTTAAATTTTTAAAATTATTTTTTAAATAATAATATTTTATCTAACGAGCGTATGATTTATAAATTTATAGTTTATTTTAAAATGAAAAATCTGTTATTATATAAATTTATAATTATGTTTAAATATTAATTTTCGATAGAAGCGAAAATCCCCGAACGAATGGAATTTCTAAAATGTTTCTTTAAAATAACAACCGGTAAAATTATTTTATTTGTTTATATTACTTTTAAAAAATATAAAAACAAGTGAATAATAATAATTCTAATAATAAATTTTTCCTTATTCTATATTATTCCTTATAGAACGCTACTTTTTGAATTTTATTTTAAAAAATAGATTAAACAATTTTAAATATTTAGTGTTAAATTAATGTAAAGAATAATTTTAATTTACCAATAAACATTAACCCGTTTTTTTCCTGTCGGAGTAAGGAATATTAAATTCGAAAGATCATCTATCGCCGCGACGATGTTTATTCTCGTTACCATGGCGACCATTCAATAAAGTTTCTATTCACAGAACGAATAAAATTTAAAATATTTTAAAATATTAACAAAAACAACAAAAAAAATCTTATTAAATTTATAATTTAAAATAATACAAATATTTGATGTTTAATACTAAATAAAATTGATAAGTCATACAGTATTTACAAATAATAATTATTATTTTCTTTTGTTAAAAGATGGCGTCGATAAAAATTATTTTTTAAATACTGTATTTATAATATTTTTAATTCATTTTTTAAAAATGTTAAAAAATAATAACAATTATAATTTATTTGATAATTTAAAATATTTTTGTTACTCTTTTCTATCTTCTTACAAGATCCTTTGTAGCAGGCCTCATTCGGGCAACCGTGGGTGAAGGATGGGGCCTTTCATATCCGGACCACATAGCTAAGGAAGACCGGGAACGATTCGGAGAGATGGAAAATCTCAGGATTTATCGGTGTATCGGTCTCCGTCTGTCCCACGTGGGTCTGGCCGAACCAATCCTTTGTTTTTTTAAGTTATGGCAACGCAACACTCGGGCGATATGCCTTCCGGGAGAGGTATTTTTAAGGGTACCTGGCCCCTATCCAGGCGGTACAGATGTGGAGAAAACTCCACGTGGCCAGCCCGTTCTGGCTATGTGCGAACCCACGCCGAACTCCCAGTGTTCAGGGAACGGAATCGCTTGACCATTGGCGGGCCGAACCAATCGTAGGTTTGTTAAAAGTCTCTTCTAGTATACAAAGAGCTAAAAGAAAAGACTTGATCCAAACTTGAGAAGATTGAAATAAGAACCGATAAGAAACTTAGAACTTGAAAATAAATTAAATTCGAATTTACTCTCATAAAAGCTTCTATATCAATGTGTTCAATTTGTTTCTCTTTTCACACGAGACCACTATGGGTTTTTCTTCTATATTTTTAGAGCTTACCAGGACCGGATTAACCCACTTTGGGGCCCTAGACATTTGTCTCATTTGTCTATGCGATNAATTATTATTATTATGATCATAATATAAATTTAATGCGAAATTGATATGTGTTGAGGGCATTGCTGGTCTGAGATCGAAACAAGATTACTAAAGACAACTATTTATAAGGAATGGGACCTGATCTCGTATTTATTTTCTAAATTATTTCTTTTACGTTTAGTTTTGATGCATTTTATTTAGTTACGGAGAGAAATTTACAATGTTTCCATCAAAATTAAGTTAAAACTGAACTTATTGGAATTCTAGTTAGTAATTTGCCACCATACAATGCATGCAGTTTGTTTTTCTCTGATCAAATTTAAAGAATTGAATGAAATGAATTATAGAAAAATAATGGCATGTAATATATAAAATTTAATACTTATTGATTAAATATGAAACTTTGGTATGCAAGAAAATGTAAATGAATATGGGTGACTGAAACTATTGTGACATCACTTGCAATTATAAACAAATGAACAAAAAAACTGTTACGACCAAACAAAGTTTTCTAATCACAGCTTTGTAGCTGTGACTTGAGAGATGAAGGTGATAAACCTACATTTTCTTTTGTATCAGATAATGGAAGCTTAGGTCATTAGTTTGAATTTAGAATTCTTCGTTTAATATTAATAAATTTTAGATGTTTTTAATTCATTTTTGTTAAGGATTTTCTTTATTTTTAAACTTAATGGATGATTTAGATATTTTTGATCAGTTAAAATAAACTAAATAATAATTGTTCCCCCCAAAAATGTAAGCCCAGATCTAGCACTTTGCCAACTCTGGATTATGATATCATTTCTTCTTAGGTTCCTTTGTATTCTAAGTAATTTTGACTGTCAATTATCTTCAGTGACCTTATAAGTTTATCATGCTTTGTATACTGTTAGATAAATGCACTTTATTTAGAAACTTTCTAGAAATATTTTGACTTTGTAACATTCACTTAATGTTGCCGCTCTGTAGTGTAACAACAGATGCTTTGATGAAGGTCTAATGCTTCTAGATTTTTGTAAAGTATCAATGACCCATAGACAAAAAGACTACAGACACTAAATATATATATATATATATATATATATAATAAATTATGAACAAACTGATATTTAAACTAAACTTTACCTGCTTATCCATTTTTCTTGTTTTATTTTTCTCATCTATTAGGTTTCTAAAAGTTATATAATATTCATTTAATATATCTTCCTCTTCCTTTTGCTTTTGTCGAATTTTATTCTTAATTACTAAACATTTATCCAAATCCCGTCGCACCTTTTCTTGAGATTTCAACTTTTTCTCGTGATTCCAAATCTTGTCGAGCTTCATTATTTCCCTTTGTTGTTTCTGAAAAAAATAGACTTTTATTAGCTGCAGATTCTCTTATATTAATCGATCATTATTCACAATTCAGAACTCTTGCATCAAAAACAATATATGTTTATATTGCTAATATATGCCAATGTTTACATCAGGATTTTCTAAACTTTGTGCAGTAAGTACTACTTCCAAACTCTGAAAATATGTAGCAGCACTAGTTAAATTCCTAATCTAAATACTAATACAGATAGCCCAAATTAATTGTATTGAGAACTAATAAAATTCAAGTGATTAACTCTGATAAAAAAACCACTTTAATAAGAAGTACAAATCATCTGCAGAAGAAATCAATTTGGATAATCGGAGTTCTCGAAATATAATGTGCGTACCACAATCAATCTGCAAGCATGTACCGGGTAGTCTGTAGACTGACCTAGTCATTTTTCTTATATGAAATTCTATGCAGTTTAGCCAGAGGAAAGAAAAAAATATATATTTTCATATATTGCATATCCCTTACTGAATAAACAAAATGTTAAGGCACATATCTAAGGTAAAACTTACAGGATAAGTGAGTGGGTCAAATACATCCACAGATTAAATAACTTTGAAAACGACTGACTTATATCATTTGTGTCTACTTTGAACATACATAAGCTATTTTTTTTCAAGCTCTGATGGTCCATAAAAAAAAAAAACAAGTATAAATAACAAAGATAGGCCCTAACGTTGTTTTGAAGATCATCATTAGTCTCAAACCTCTGCCCTCCTAGCCACTTTTCCTGTTCAGGAAAGAGGTTGAAGTCGCTCGGTGCTAAATTGAGGCTATATGCTGTGTGTTTAAAGGTGGTGAACACTTCCACCAAGCTTGTAACTTTTTAATGTGCGAAGACTTCCACCTCTTTCCTGAACTGAAAACGTGGCTAGCAGGGCAGAGGTTTGAGACTAATGACAATCTTCAAAACAACGTTAAGGCCCATCTCAAGTCATTGGTGGCAATATTGTATGACAAGGGGATGGAAAAGCTCATCCACAGATACGACAAAACCTTGTATTTTATTACAAGTTTTATTTATTTTATTATGTATCTGAAAGGTAAAAATCATTTTATGACATGTTTTATAACTCATATATAAAACTAAAGTACTTTTTCTATTATTTTGACTAAAAATAGGAATTAATGAATCATTTAGCCATTTATTCACACAAAAAAATTCAATTTAATAATTGATTTATATTTAATTAAATCCTTTTAAAAATTATTTAATAATTAGTACCTGGTCTGAGATCGAAACAAGATTACTAAAGACAACTATTTATAAGGAATGGGACCTGATCTCGTATTTATTTTCTAAATTATTTCTTTTACGTTTAGTTTTGATGCATTTTATTTAGTTACGGAGAGAAATTTACAATGTTTCCATCAAAATTAAGTTAAAACTGAACTTATTGGAATTCTAGTTAGTAATTTGCCACCATACAATGCATGCAGTTTGTTTTTCTCTGATCAAATTTAAAGAATTGAATGAAATGAATTATAGAAAAATAATGGCATGTAATATATAAAATTTAATACTTATTGATTAAATATGAAACTTTGGTATGCAAGAAAATGTAAATGAATATGGGTGACTGAANTTTTACATATGTTAAGTTTGAATATTTTCTATTACAATAAGTAGATTCTACTGTTACTTTTTTTAAGTAACATATATAACTTAACTAAATGGCAATTATAGTATCATTTTAATTTATCTTTGTATTTTTGTAATAATTTATATTATTTGAATAAATTTAAAGTATAATTTCCCTCAACAAAACACACATGTTTTATATTGTTTTTAAAATTATCATCATCATCATCTTTATTAAGAATTAGTTATTAAAATGCAAAAGTAATAGAATTTTGACAAACCTCAAGTTCTATTTCTTCTTTATCTAACTTTTGCAATTTTTTCTTCCTCTGTTCCTCCTCAAAGTGTGCTTTTTGAATCAAAGCATACTCAATATTTTTCTTTCTACGATTTTCTTCTTCGAATCTAATCCTTTCAGATTTAATTTCTGCATCTTTCTGCCAACATTTTGCAAATATATTTTCCCTTTCCCTCATCTCTTCCTCCATTTTAGCTTTAAGAATGAGCTGCTGTTTTCGATCGTTTGAAACTTCTTTACATATCATCTTACTGATTATCGGATCCAATTCATGGCAATTTTCTCTATATTTAATAAAAAATAATTAAATATAGAGAATTAAATTAAAATAATTAAATTAAATTAATTAAATTAAATTAAAATGATTATCAATTTATGCTTTTAATTCTTTTAATTTCACAAAAAAAAAAAAAAAATTCAATTATTAAAATTTAAATTGATATGCATGATTTTAACATCTTACCTCCATTGTTGATCTAACTTTTCTTTGACAATTTGTAGTCGTTCTTCTTCTTTCTTTTCAAGTAAACATTGCAATGAATAAAACATTCTTGTTTTACGTTCTGCCGGAGTCTCTCCTTGCTGTTCGATCTCTTGAAAATATTTATTTTTTTCATCTTCATACAACTGACGCAATCTAACAGAGAAAATTAGCTATAAATATCATAAAATATTACAAAATTTATCATATAAATTCTTTTATAATGCAATAAATGTAGAACTACATGAAAATATAATAAATAGTTAATAATGTGATCATTATATTCTACAATAAAAAATATTATAATTACACATAAAGTATGTTTATTGACAATGGAGCATTATAATAAATAATTGTAGTATGTAATATAAGTAAACATAAATCTATTTATAAAATGGGGTTCTAAGAGTGATCCTATCTTCACTTGGGATCCCTAAAATTTAGGGATCCTTTGATATAGGAAACAGTTAAAGTTTCTTTAGAAAATAGTAAAAAATCTGTTTTTGTTTTATTAATTTTATTCGTGTATTTTTTTAATTGTTTTAGGTGTTAGTCTTGTTAAGTTTGTAGGTTATGTGAACAAAGATTACACAAAATGTCTAATGGAAGGTTGGTGCTAGAAAAGGAGAGTAACAGGAAATCAAAGTAACTTGTTACCGGTGCAGTCAACAATTTTCTTATGTAACAGAAAAACTTGATACAAAATTGCCACAACACAATACAATACACACAGACATTACATTCACCAACTTCAGTTGTATTCTAAAGCTAGGAAGAGGAGGTCTTACATGTGATTAATTCAGGTTATATCTGATATCTTGGCTCCTATAGTTCATTAAAGATTTTAAACTGAATAATTCAGTAGAATCCTACAACACTATCTGAATTCCTAGAGGCTCTATTTAAATATTTAAACAACTCTTTATCTAAGGGATGAAGCCACTTTCTGGTCTGAAAACTATCCCCACCATTCATTGAGTTAAAGATGGAATTTATATTTTTAAATCAAATTTAATAGCTCAAATGATACCTGTCTCTTCGTTCTTCCAACCAATCATTTCTGTTTTTTAATGCATCTTTAATTTTATGTTGGGCAATATTGGCAGTTAATTTCTTTTCTGCTTGAATATACCATTCACCGTAGAACTGTTTCTTCTTATTTTCACTCACATACTGCTCAATTTCATATCTATTATCTTCTCTCTTAGATAACATTTCATTTCTGTGCAACTGTTTGAGTTTTGCATAATCATGAAAATGTATCTAAAGAAACAAAAATATTTCAGAATTTTCTAAATAATATAATAATAGAAAATCACAATATAAATAAAATAGATTAATAAAGTATTTACTCTTCCAAAACTGTGAGGCATGGACCCAGGAACATCTTTTCTTATGTGAAGTAGAGTTCTCAGATTCAAATCCATTTTTGAGTAAATCATCTAATTTAATTTCTTATTATGATTCAAGATAATTATCACATAAATCTACAAATTATTTAAATTAATGTAAGATTAAATAATCAAAACAACTTGATTACTATTAACTATTAAGATTTCAACTCAATGAAAAGCTAATACTGGAGAAAAGCCCAAAAAAATTCCAAGATTTATGGAATGATAAAGATAGTATTGATATTATGACAAAAAGTGAAGCATTTGGAGTTCCAATTATTAATTAATGCCTAAAGTAGACGACCTGAGGCAGTTATAGCATCAACCTACAGCTTTGGTGACTCTGGGATTGAATCCAGGTGATCAACCCCAGGAGGCAAGTTCATCCTTCATCAGTCACCTCCATTGTGGGCCTGGCTGAACCCATAATATGAAAAGGCCTTCTTAGTGCTGAAAAAGTTTAGAAGTAAAATTTTGAAGCACCAAATACACGCCATGTATTAACTCTTGACAAATCTTCTTTCAGCAGAAGTTACTTTTAGATAATTTATAAACACGTGACTATATATACAAATGACCTATAAGTAATTTCTACTATTTTAATTCATTCAACATTAAAAATAATTAAAAATCAACTTCTAATTTTATAGTTAATCCTGAAATTCTCCTAAGCCATATTTTACTATAAAGAATTTTATTAATAACAAATTTATCAAAATTAAAATCCATCAGCATGGCAGCCGCCATCTTGAGAGACAACACTCCCTATTGGCAAAAAATAATAATAATAATTTAATTTTCCAGAAATGTATATCTTTTTAAATTTTTAAAATTATTTTTTAAATAATAATATTTTATCTAACGAGCGTATGATTTATAAATTTATAGTTTATTTTAAAATGAAAAATCTGTTATTATATAAATTTATAATTATGTTTAAATATTAATTTTCGATAGAAGCGAAAATCCCCGAACGAATGGAATTTCTAAAATGTTTCTTTAAAATAACAACCGGTAAAATTATTTTATTTGTTTATATTACTTTTAAAAAATATAAAAACAAGTGAATAATAATAATTCTAATAATAAATTTTTCCTTATTCTATATTATTCCTTATAGAACGCTACTTTTTGAATTTTATTTTAAAAAATAGATTAAACAATTTTAAATATTTAGTGTTAAATTAATGTAAAGAATAATTTTAATTTACCAATAAACATTAACCCGTTTTTTTCCTGTCGGAGTAAGGAATATTAAATTCGAAAGATCATCTATCGCCGCGACGATGTTTATTCTCGTTACCATGGCGACCATTCAATAAAGTTTCTATTCACAGAACGAATAAAATTTAAAATATTTTAAAATATTAACAAAAACAACAAAAAAAATCTTATTAAATTTATAATTTAAAATAATACAAATATTTGATGTTTAATACTAAATAAAATTGATAAGTCATACAGTATTTACAAATAATTATTATTATTTTCTTTTGTTAAAAGATGGCGTCGATAAAAATTATTTTTTAAATACTGTATTTATAATATTTTTAATTCATTTTTTAAAAATGTTAAAAAATAATAACAATTATAATTTATTTGATAATTTAAAATATTTTTGTTACTCTTTTCTATCTTCTTACAAGATCCTTTGTAGCAGGCCTCATTCGGGCAACCGTGGGTGAAGGATGGGGCCTTTCATATCCGGACCACATAGCTAAGGAAGACCGGGAACGATTCGGAGAGATGGAAAATCTCAGGATTTATCGGTGTATCGGTCTCCGTCTGTCCCACGTGGGTCTGGCCGAACCAATCCTTTGTTTTTTTAAGTTATGGCAACGCAACACTCGGGCGATATGCCTTCCGGGAGAGGTATTTTTAAGGGTACCTGGCCCCTATCCAGGCGGTACAGATGTGGAGAAAACTCCACGTGGCCAGCCCGTTCTGGCTATGTGCGAACCCACGCCGAACTCCCAGTGTTCAGGGAACGGAACCGCTTGACCATTGGCGGGCCGAACCAATCGTAGGTTTGTTAAAAGTCTCTTCTAGTATACAAAGAGCTAAAAGAAAAGACTTGATCCAAACTTGAGAAGATTGAAATAAGAACCGATAAGAAACTTAGAACTTGAAAATAAATTAAATTCGAATTTACTCTCATAAAAGCTTCTATATCAATGTGTTCAATTTGTTTCTCTTTTCACACGAGACCACTATGGGTTTTTCTTCTATATTTTTAGAGCTTACCAGGACCGGATTAACCCACTTTGGGGCCCTAGACATTTTCTTCTTACCGGGCCCCCTTCCTCTCCCATAAGAAATAGAGCACACAAAAAATATAAAACAATAAATAAAACAAAACTAAATAATGTGAAAAACTAACACAAATCTTAAATTTTTATTAATAAAAAATATTTAATATACAACAATAAATTTTAGTTTTTCTAGAAAAATTTGAACAGTTTGTTTATAAATTTAAAAAAAAAATTGAAATTTATTTTATTAAATGTCTAACAAAAATTGTTATACAATAATAATATTATCTTAAAATATTAATTGTTTAATTTAATCTTTTTGGTTAATATTTAAATGTAATATTTTACCCATGAAAGGTAAATTGAATAATGAAAAAGATAATTTAAATAAAAGTCAAGATAGTTTTAAAAAAGTAAGTATACGTATAAATATGAATAAACTTTATTTAAAAATTCTGTTTTCTACTCTTTAATTCAGCAAAATTATCAATTATTTTATCATAATTAATATTATCCAAAGCATTTTGTTCTATGTATAAAAAGCTAAAGAATTTAATTCTGATTCACTCAGTGAGTTTCGCAATTTTTTACGTGTTTTAATACTGAGAATGACCTTTCACCAGATGCATTTGATATAGACAAAGTTAAATATATTGGCAATAATATTTATATACTGTATTTGGGAATGTTGATACTAGTTTGTGTTCTTTATAAATTGCAGCATATCAGATGGCAACGTTAATTTTTGGCTTTTGCAAATTAAATTGCAACAATTCCTCGTCCAATTCTTCTGTATCAATATCGCCACTATACCATTTTTTAGCAATGCAGTATTAATTGATACGTCCTCGTCGTCGCCGTCAGCTATGTTTGTATGAAGAATTTTAAAAATTTCATCAATATCTTTCAAAATTAACCGGGCCCTAGACATTTGTCTCATTTGTCTATGCGATGATCCGGCCCTGGAGCTTACAATGAACGCGCGGGTTAGGATGAATTACGGGGACAGACATATTCCAAATAAATCTCTCTTGAAAAATTTATTATCAACTCGTATTCGAATCTGGACACTACAGAGCTGGATCAAAGGGATTTCAATACTTAATCACACTACCCCCAAAAAGGCGTTAGTAAGACTTCAACGTAACAAAACCATAACTTAATGTTGATCCTTGGACTTGAGAATAGGATTTTCGAATTTGACTGTTGCTTTCGAAGATGAACTTGTTGTTTCATTGGTTGTGTGAATAGTTTTTCTCCTTTAACCTTGAATCGAGATTAATCCGACATAAATTCATATTTTAATCATACTAATTTAGGATTTTCTTAGTGTTACTTTCACCGAAATTTAATTTTTTCAAATTTCTAAATCTTATTTCTTAAGTTTTATACCTAACATTAGTTATGACGACTTCTTTTATTGGTTTTTTCTCCTGTTCTTACTGTTCTGAGAGCTTTTTAATTAATCAAATCCATCTTGGGTTCAGCCAGGCCCATAATTGGGCGACCGAGTGGAGTGGAACGGGGACGAACCATCCTCCAAAAACTTCTTGGAGTTTTTAGAACCATCCAGATTTGTTTCCGGGTTCCCCAGAGCAGAAAGCAGACACTCTTATTGCTCTTTTCCCATCCTGTGGGCACTAACAGATCCTTTTTCCTTATCCATCGTGGATTTGGCCAAACTACAATATTGTCGGTCTGAGGGTTAGGCCCGATCTACCATGAAAACTTTTTGATCGAACTCGAACCCGGATCAGAAAGTGATAGTAAACGATCCTAAATTAGAATGTCAACAAAACATCTTTAACTATCACCTACACAATTTCTGATTATTTTATTATTGACTTTCTACGCTATAGGCACTAAGAGCGTCCTTTTCAGATCCAGCCCACAAGGGGCCGGACATATTTGGATCCGATCTCCCCAAAAATGTTTGTTTTTTGACTTGATTTGATTCCAGATCCTCAGAGGTAGCTAACGACAGCTTCAGCAGCACTCAAAGACACTACACTATATATGGGAATACTTTTTAAGTGTCTCTAACCAAAACTCTGATTGACCAAAGCATCATATTGGTGAGCTTTAGTACTGTTTTTTACAGCAATTTGTTCTGCCTATTCTAGTATTTCACCAAATTTGGTTGCATTTCTACCGCTAAATCTCTCTCTAGACAGCATTGAATAGGGAAACCCAAAAATTAACGTGGAAACAAACAAGAAACTATAGAAAGTATTATATAACATTATTTAAATATATTAAATCCAATATCTGAATCCTAATATAATTAACTAAAAAGAAACTTATTTTTTACATTTCTTCAGTTTTATTACTTTTAATTTTGGTAGTATCCACATTTAAAGATTGGGCTCATTGATGATGATCTTGTATTCATTTTCTCACCATTACTTCCCATCATAATTTTAAACACTATGCAATAAAGTATTGCAATCTTCAGAAATTTAACTAATTTTCAAAAACATTGAAATTGTTTGATGGCATTTATAGTAAAAATAGCATGTCCAGAAGAGGGCAATCAGAGAGAACAATTGTCAATGACATAAGAATAATATCAATCCCCTTTTTTCATTTCTTACAAAATTCTTACCATGTAAATACTTGATTTTCATTAAATTTGCAATTAGGTTTTATTTTCTCACTAATAATTTTCTAAATATGTTTCAACAAGAAATATGTGAAATAAAACAGTTGAACCAGCGATTTAAATTTAGTACGAGATGGCATATTTATTATATAATGGGCTATGACTGTTGTTGTTTATATGTAATATGTGTGAACAAAGTTTAGAAAAATGTGATCATGAGCGACACTAAGATGCTAGCGGAACAAGTGCTAAACACTGACTGATGGAACACGCGCACAATTCAGATTTCCCCTCTCCTTGTCACTCGTTATGCCCATTTGTTGGGTGCAAACACAACTATTAATAGCATTTGGTGGTGTTAACTACTTGGCCAATGGTGGGCTCCTCAAAATTTGTGAAATACACTGTGTGCTTGTAATTAGCAGATTTAGAAAATTCTGACTGATATTGTTTGATTTAATAATAAACATGACAGCTATCTCAGAATTTGAAACTGAGAAAGGTTTCAATCACTATTTCAACATTATTATTTATAAAAACTTAAGATGAATATTTAATCTCAGACTAAATCATTGTTTTTAAAACAAAGTTTATTTCCAGTATGAGCAATGGAATGATTTGTATATCAAAAAGTTTCTAATTCACATATATACTGTACTTTTTTTTAGACAAAAAACAAAAAGATTTAAAAAAAATGTATATTCCACTACAGAGCTGTTTAACATATAATAAATTGTGACAATTAAGAACTATTGTATGGAATTTGTATTCTTAAATCAATACTTCACCATAGGAAATCACCAGAATTGTTAAATGCAGTGGAATCACAAATGAAACTGTTTACCATTTAGGCACTCTACTAATTTTTTATTTTATTCTGTTGCATCCGCTTTAGCAACAGAAAATGGTTTCTCTACTGCTATGGTACCACTATCTGCAATAATGACATCTTTGACGGGCTTGTCTCGTCCGTCCGTTTTTGTAGACTCGATCTTTCTTACGACATCCTAGATGTAGAAATAATTATTTTATTAATAAAGATAGAACGCTTTATATAATAATAAATTTATCAATTTTCTCACCATTCCTTTCAAGACTTTTCCAAATACTACATGCCTTCCATCCAACCAAGATGTCTTTTTAGTAGTGATAAAGAACTGAGAACCATTTGTATCTTTTCCGGCATTAGCCATGGAAAGCCATCCTGCTCCGTAATGTTTCAGCTTAAAATTTTCGTCTGCAAAACGTTCTCCGTAGATACTACGACCTGAAAGGTTTTCAAAATTTGTATAATTACAAAAACTTACTGTTTTCCCACTACTATTTTACTTATAAATAAAATATATCTAAAAAAACATTTTATAGAAAATTTCTTTAAGATAAAAAACAATCTACTTAATTTTTTTTGTGAAGAAGATTCACATAAAGTTAGAGTAAAAGATAAATCTAGAAAATATCTAATGTAAAAATCAATAGATGATTTATTGAAAGCTATTTAAATTTTTTTGTATAAACAGCACCTATGCCCATGGAAAGTGTCTTTTTTGTCCTGCACAAACATTCAACACCACTATAGACAGACAAAATATTTGAAATTCAAATCACTCAGTTGTTGTGACAAAATTAATTACAGTAGAGCATCGATTATCCGAATGTCAATCAACCAAAACGTCAATTAACCGAAGGCTTTCCAGTCGGCAAATTTAAATTTCTGCTAGTGCTGTGGAGCTGCAATCTTTGGCTTTGTCTTGGGCTATTCCAATATTATTTTTATTGGTGCGCGTGTTTTAGCTGGCAGCACTGGTGCGACCATGAGAGGGTATTTAAAGATGTGCCAGGATTTGAACGGATTTCAACATGGGATAGGTTAATACATTTTTTTTGTACATAATCGGTTATCTGAAAAATCGATTTTTCAAACAGCCCCAGTCTCCAATTGATTAGGATAATTGATGATCTACTGTAGTTGCCAGTGACATGAAAATTTAACACGAATGCATGGATGACAGCCACAATAATAGAGCTATATAATTTCAACAGAGAAATGTAAAAGAAAATGAGCAATTACTTATTGTGACAGAGTCACAGTGCCGGGCTGCAATTTTTAATCATTTTTAAAAATTTATTTAATTCAGAATATATGCTCTTCACCTCAAATTAGTAGTGTCTTGTCCCTATACATCATACTTTTCTGTTAGCAATAGTCATACTGGTCATTCATTAACTGTTTTCAGAGGAAACGTTTTTAATTGAAATAATGTGACTTCCAGTTTGTACCAGCATTTACAATTTGTTATAAAACTCATCCCTACCCTCAAAATTAAGCTTTTTTTCCATTTTATAATAGTTAAAAATATAAAAAGTTTTAAAATAAATTATGATAACAGATAGTGCTAACAAAATTTTAAATGTCAGGAAAGTTGAAACTAGTTGCTGGTTTCAAACTGCAAACCAAAAATAGAAATGTTTCTGAACAATCTACATATTCACTTATAATTGATAGACCTAAAATTAAATAGTGTATTAATTATACCTCCTGTTCCATCTCCTTTAGTGAAATCTCCACCTTGAATCATGAAATCCGAAATAACTCTGTGAAATATACTTCCTTTGTAGCCAACCAATCCACCATCTTTACTTTCCTGTATCATCAAATAAGCAGTAAATTAATATTTAATAAATGCTATTTACAATAAATAAATATATTAACATACTGAGAAATCATTTTAAAAATTCTCAATATAAATAAATCTTTTGAATGTATATGAAGTAGAGAGCATCGATTATCCAAAACAATTCGGGACTGGGGTTGTTCGAATAACTGATCATTTACAAAAAAATATAAATACAAAATTATATTGTATATAGTTTGTATCATACGTCTTACAAATACATACCTTATATAATGTAATACATTAAACTAGGCCTACAGTTCAGTTTGGCAGGGAGGGAAAGAGTGTTGCAACGCCACAGCCTTAGCAGCAAATTGGAATTTGCTGACTGGAACGCTTTCAGTTAACCAATGTTTCGGTTGATTGGTATTCAGATAATCAATGCTCTACCATATTAATATAGGTATTATTAGTTAATTTATGATGTGGCCAAAATCAACTTGAAGTGGCCATATGTCACTTCATGTGACAATCAGAAGCACCTACTAGTTCAAATCATCATTAATTATAATTTTTAACCCAGAAGCAGGCATGAAAGATGACCAATTAAAAAACAGAAGGAACTGGGTAGAGAATAACACCACAATATCTGTCAGAAAACTAATCAGTAATTTCTGACAGAACTTTAACAAGACAAGGACTACTGTAAAGTAATAAACAAGGAAGACTAAGACCTTTCTTCCTTGTAATTAAAGATGTATATAAATTAATGATTACCAGTGACAAATCTTATCATTATTAAAAAGATATACTAAATATAGTACATGTATAAAGGTTATTTTTTTTGTATGGATAAAGTTTTCTATTAAATAATTTAATACAGTTTTAAAGGAAACATTATTTTCTTCTAATATACAAAATGAATTGTAGAAAGCAAATGTACTATATTTATAAAACTCCAATTTTATCATGTTATGTCATATAACTTATCAGAAAACAATTATATAACATTTGGAAGAAACAAAAAGAAAATGAAAACACAAATTTACATTACAATAAAAACAGGAATATAATAACTTTGACAGCTAATGTAAGTACTAAACTTGCAGATTCTGAAACCATAAATGTGCTTTTTTAACATGGAGATGAAATTAAAGGAAGGCATAGTAAGTATAAAATATAACAGACAAGATGTTTCACATCTCATCTGTTATGTACAAGGATTCCATCTAATCACCCTCTAATAGAAGAAATCAGCCTTTAGAATACTGATCAGAAGGTGCACACCTATCACATTAATAAGATCAATAAAGATGATAATTTTTATTACAACAAATGACTTTCTTTAAATATTAGAGTTCTATTGCAGATAATCACAAAGTAAATAAAAAATTTTAAATTCAAAGAAAATCCTTTAGTTATTGAAATGTCTGTATTTAGTCAACTGAAACTTGTATATTGTTTACTTTTACATCTTCACTAGTTACCACTTTGTTTTAAAATTTTATTTTGCACTTAATTATTGATTTAAATGTCCAATTTGTTAGATATAAACTGACTGCTATATTTCCATCTGGAACAGTTTGTTCTTACTTGGGCAATCTGGTGGCTCTTGATTAGATACCAAACTCTATATTATATATACATATTTCTTTCCTTACGTTGCTAATCAGTAATATAAATCAGAAGACAAACATTGAAAGGTAAAACATCATCATCCTTTCAAGGTTATTTGGAAAATTCAATGAAAATATTTATCATATTTCTGAGCAAATAAGACATGTGCTTGTTTTTGCATTTTTGAAACACATTGGATTTACTTATACAAGTATTATACTGCTTTGTCAATGTAAATTAAATGCATATTGATATAGAAACTAATCACTAACAAAAATAAAAATGCTCCTAATATTATAAAAGTAATGAGTGTTTTTTTAAAGATATTTTGTAGAATATAGTGCCAATTGCATCCCTTCTGTAAGAGTATGTTTTTATATGCACAGAAATAAAGTAATTAAAGCACAATTTTGCTAACCATTATATATATATATTTATTTATTTAAAATTATTTTTATGACTCAATATCAAGCATAAGATTATATTCATAATACTGAACTTTAAGTTTTATTAAATTTGCTAAGCATTGATGTAAAATTACAATTATAAATTATAATTAGTACCCAAATTTTTCTGTGTGCCAAATTTCTCATAAGTCATAAGTAGACAAGCCAAAAATATTTGGCCCAGGGGATATAGTTTCAGCCCATAGTATGCACTAAGTCTATCAAATTAATCAAGATATGATCATTATGAGTCATATTTCTCGTAACCATGTTAAAATAATGCTTAATTCATGTTCATATAAAAAGTAATGTTTATTACAAAACTTAAGATATATGCCATTAAAACTTGAAAAAACCCAAACTAAAATATTTACTCAATTTTCTGAATGAAGACAAGCATAAAATAATTATCTTACAGACAGTTTATAGTTACAGAAACATAATTAAAAGAGAGAGAAAAAGCCTAAAAGGTCAATGCTTATATTTCAATTGTGTTCCTAGCTTGATGGACATATAAGTAACAATTGCTATAAGTTTGTCTTTACAGTAGTTTGTTTTACTTATTATCATATATAATCTAATACAATTGGCATACCTACTATAAATACTGTACATGATTAATTTATCATTGCAAATGAAACATCTGAAACCATAAGTTGTTTCTCTATAAAGATATTCCACACATTAAAATCTGCTGATTGTCAAATAATTGCCTTTCATCAAAGTATGTGCCAAATTGTTTACAGAGCACACATATACACAATTATTTGCCAAGCATCAGTTTGTTGTGGGAAATACAATGTTTGCCCGAGATTTATCCCTATAATATACCGACAAGGAATGGGAAATGGCAAATATTGATTATTAGTCACGGGTAAATTATCCACAGTATTCAGTATTGGCCAAACGTTTGCTCGGCATTCAGCAAATACTGAATGTACAGAGCTGCCTTAATATACAGGTCTTATGCTATTTTCTGGATGTCATTTCTTTGAAAGCAATAAACCAAAATAATGTGTAGCACTTTCAAAACACTTTTAACCATTCTAAAAATATATCTTGATTAATCATATTAAAAATTTAAAATGAATAATCAAAGCATTCATTGAAATAGTTTATAAATTTCTGATAAAAATAAGAATTATATAACAATTGCCAATTTGTTCCATAATTCAATTATATAAATTCTTACCTCTGTTGTATGCTTTGTGCTTAACTCCACAAAGTTTTTCACTGTTTTTGGTACAGTTTTACCAAATAAGCCAATCTCAATCCTGCCGGCAGGTTCGCCACCAATCGTAATATCAAAATATACCTGAAATAAAAAAAATACCATATGAAATAAAATAAAAATTAAATTTAGAGTAGACATACAATAAATATATTAAATAAAGAGTTTATTACAATAAAGTCTAATGGTATGTGTGTGTATATATATATATATATATATTTTTAAAACTCTTTCTGCCCTGTATGCACTAAGAAGTCCTTTTTAACAATTCCATTGTGGGTTCAGGCAGGCTCACAATGGGGTTGCCAGGTTGTAAGAGACAGGACTTGACATATTCAGATGTATCACTCCCAATAAACTTCTGGGTATTTTTTGACCTGTCTGGATTCGATCCTGGATTTCCAGAATCATAAGCTGCTACCTGAATCATTTGGTCATCCAGCTGTGCATTAATGATATTGGAAACATTCCAAATTTTTAGATAAGCCTCAGTTATAGTTTATCGTATCCTTTCATCAAATTTATCCTTTATCTAGGTGTATTTGAAAATTATTAGCCTACTCAGCAATTATATTAAATCTTTTTCATCATGTAATGCTGAAAAGTCACTATCAATAGATATTAACACTACAGAATTTGATATTTAAGATTTATCATGATTATATTTAAAATTTTAAAAAATTTTACGACTATATTTCACGATGACTGTCATTTAATTATCTTAGCAATAATGTATATAGTAAACAGAAAATTGAATATTGTAGATAATTAAATTACAGAATTTCATTTAAACCTGATGATAATGGCTTATTTCAAGTTTAATGTTAATAATCTAATAGAACTAAATAATAGACTCAATGAAGGAATCAAATCACCACTTCCAAACAGGATTTTAGCTGTCTTTAAAATATGTCTCAGTTAACTAAGTTTTGTACAAATAATAAATTAAAACAACACAAAAATCCAGCAAATAAAAAGTTTTCAACTGACTTTATCTGCCATTATCAGGTTTATAATGAAAATACCATTGAACATAAACAGAATTTTTCATAAACATTTCATTAAAAAACATAACATAAAACATAAACATTTCATTAAAAAGATTGCCACTCGTACATTAAAGAACTTGTTACATTATTTCGAAACTAATTTCCCATGCAAGTGAAATTGTGTCCCTGTATTTCTTATTTGTGCTAATAAATGTTTGTATCAAAAAACTGGTAATGTTTCATATTATATTTCTTTAAATATGTAAAATGAATAAATGCCTTTTTATAGAAAATATAAAAACTCAATATCAAAAACACATTCTAATTAGATTAAATTCATTTTATATTATGGAGTTGTTCTGATAAAATAATTTTTTTGATTATGTTTCTCGAGTAAACGAAAGTATGGTCTGACTAATACAAAATGGCAGATCAATTTAGCATATATTTATCATATTAAAATAGTATAGTAATATATCAATTATGTGAAAAATCAATTAACTAAATTCAACTTCAGGGTATACTAATTCCAGAAATTATGAAGTTTTTATGTAAGAACTATTGTCGATCATCTGTAGGTTCGCTATTGAGCTATTTCATTATCTGTGCCGACGTTCGGTTCTCACTTATTACATTACAAACTGAAAAATATGACTAATCAGTCACGGACATCTAACACATCAAATGCTTCACTGTTCCTGCACAAAGCGAAACATTTGATGATGTAATTAGAAATGCAACCCGAAGCAGGTTTTTCAACTCAGATGATTAAACAAACCAGGGATTTAACAGAGTTAAAAAGAAAAGAACTAATGTGAAAGGTGAATAAGTGACTTCTTTCAAAAACAGAACTGCAATAAATAATTTTACTTGAGTATTAAATGTAATATTAATTTTACTGTTATGTATTTTTTCATTTTGAATTCAAATTTCATCTGTATGTTAGAGATTACAGTGAAAGACTAATCCTTAGTTTTAATTAATTAGACAACTTTTTAAATTTTATGATCAATTATAGATATTAAATTTCTACGCCTTACTTTTGTTTTACAATTTTGTTAGAATTACAATTAATTAATAGTTATATTTTATTTAAGGAATTTATCTTTTTATTTTTTTCCTATGATCTGTAATTGATTATCGAAAACTGTTCTGCTCCATATATTTCAGATAATTCATGCTTTACTGTACTTTCGATCTAGATACAGTTTAGATCAAATCATCAGACAAATAAAATAATTTTTTGCAGGTTTCAAGATAGATATTTTTATTATAAATGTTAGCACAGTACAACCTGTCTAAAATTTGAAGGTGTTTCAATAAGTAACGCCTTTTATATTTTTAAACAAATGTTTTAATGTGTACGCAAAAATGTGAATATAGTAAATGAAGTTCAAATTTCTGGCAACACTACTGCATGATAGGAACATTTGTGTTGTCTGTCGGACATTTCTGACAAATGGAAAGAAAATAGCATGCACGCTATGATCGTCCACGCTCCAAGAGCAGCAAAGTGTTATTTATTTTCTATGGGCAGGTGGCAAGAAATGTGAACAAATTCATGTGGAAATGCAGAAAGTGTACAGTGACAATTGCATGGTGCACAAAATGCTTAAAATGGTCGTCAGTGTGTGATTGATGAGCACAGGTCAGGTCGTCCAGTAAGTGCAGCTTTGCCTCAAACAGTTACTGTTGTTGATCAAATGATTCAAAGCAACTGCCACATTCGCTTGAAGATGCTGTCGGAAAAATTGTTTGGTGTCTTGTATAGTCTTTTGAAGAAATTCCTGGCTGGAGAGAGGTTCCATTCCAACAAGGACATTAAATCAGTTGTTCGCAGATGGTTGTATGGCCAGGAACTGGCGTTCTATAATGCAGGCATCTTCAAGCAGTGTACCTGCTTGAAGATGCCAGCATTATAGAACGCCAATTCCTGGGTCAAACGCTTGAACCTGAATGGTTCCTATCTCGAGAAGTAGCCTAATCCACATATTTCATTTTGTGTATTTTGTATTTTCCATATGCATTAAAACTTTTGCTTAAAAAAAATAAAAGGTGTTACTTATTGAAACCCTCTTGTAGAAAACATTCTTCAGGATGGAGAGATTTTCTACATTAAAGCTTACTATAAGCCAGAAATCTGTGCAATATGGAAACAGAAGAGGTTTTGGATATAAAGAACACTACCTGGATGATGCAAAAAATTAAAATTTCACCTGTAGACAAATAAGTAAACTTCTTTCTAGTTAAAATAGTCATCACAGAACATAAACTACATTCCAAGAACAATTTTGAACCTTGTGAGAGAAATGATGAGGGGAATACATGGATACATGGTCTTTGTTGGAATCAAAAAGGGACAGAATTGAATGAATTTCCAAGAATCAAGTTAATTCATGAAAATGATGAGAAATAGTAGTAAAACATTGTTATTAATTTACTTTATCCAGAGTAGTTAGTAACTAACTAGTATTCAAAATAGTACCGAGTATTCAAAAACAAGCTGATTAATTACAGAGATTGAAGTTAACAACCATAGTATAGTATTAAAATTCCTCAAGAAGCCCGATCACAGAATAATTTGGTCTCTGTTACTGTAATGTGACTAGGATTTCCTACAGCAGAGAAAAAAAGTAATTTTTGGTACTCAAATTGGCTTGTCCACTGTCATCTAAGTTCATAAGAATTGTACTGAGAAGAATTTGAACACAGCACAAGTTCTTGGGAAGATTGAGAACCTTTTGCAATTGGATAGTTCTCAATAGCATTTGAATACTTCATCTTTAGTTGGAATCACTTTAGATCAATTTGAATCAAGGCATCTAGTATACTAATAAAATTTGTGTGTGTGTGTGAAAAATGAACATAACTGCATGAAATTTATCTGTAGTTTAAATTAAAGAAAAAAAAGGAAAATATACTGAAACGTGTTCAAAACAGAAACAAATACTTTGGTACTATCTAATTCTGATTTACATAGGTTTTAATGTACACTAAACTTTTCAAGTAAACAGAATAGATATTGTGTTTTGTGCTAGTGCATTTTTCTGAAAGATGGACTTATCACACTGGATTAAACACAAAACAGAAGTCTTTGTCTGTTTTTGAGAAAAGTGCACTAGCACAAAACATACAAAATAAGACAATGAACAAAAGCAAAATAATACAGAATAGATATTATATGAACAATATTATATTATTATATACATGATAGAGTGGAATAAATTACTCTTCTGAATTATATAAAACAGCTATTTTTAAAATAATTTTAACTTTTTATTTATGACGTTGACTTTGTAATTTATCACACACTTAAAAATGGCAGTTCATGCTAGAAAATCAATCATAAAGTAACATTCATTACACACAAAAATGTTTAAAGAGGGGTTTATTTAATGCAAGTTGAAGTTGAAAGTTAAACAGAACAGTTTATGTAAAGAAAGGGATGTGTTTAAACATCTTTATTTTAACTTTAGTTTGTCTTAGATTCAATTTACATTAGTTTTAAAATCACTCAGATTATCCCGATAACACTATATTTAATAACAGGCATGCAAAAAATTCAAACTTTTTAATCATAAATAGTACTGTTTCTTCACTTTTGCTATTCAGCTTACAAAAACCAACAAAATTAAAAAAGTTTTTTTGTTATAATTTATTATGAAAATCTGTAACTCAATACAAATGATTTACATTTTAAGAATTTGTAGTTTTTTAAAATTTATAGTATAGAATTTATATATAGGCATATGACAAACTGAAATATATAAACTAATATAAAGAGTATGTGAGTTTATCAATCTAAAATTGCTAAAACTTTTACATTTCCATTTTTCATTAGCAGATTAAAGTACAATTGTAAAAACTGACAAAATTACCTTAGAAATTACAGTAGAACCTTCTTATAGTAAACAGATATTGTCATCAAAATTAAATGTCCTATACTATGAAAGTTGTTAATAATTAAAATGTATAACTTGAAGATTTATTAAATTGCTTTAATATGTACTTTAAATATCAGATTGAATAAAGCTAGAATTTCTACTAATTGTAATTATATTAATTTGCATCATTCAATAATATCAGTATATCTGAATGCAAAAAGTGATTACAATGAGCAGATTCTAGTGTACTTGCTAGGGTTTCCAAAGATAATTACATATGGATATAAAAATCAAAAGGAAACTCAACACATTCAGTATTCACAAATTGCCGAATACAAACACTTGGGCAAATACTTTGACTAAAGGTATTTGCCCAAGTGTTTGTTATGTGGCAAACACACAAAATTTGCCAATCACCAGTTTGTTGTAAGAATTAAAAATGACATTTGATTTGATACAATATACCAACAATGAGTGGAAAATGGCAAATACCAAATATTTGTCAAGCAAAGTAACAAATAAATCATCCACAGTACTTGGTATAGGTCAAAGTTTGCTCAGCATTCAGCAAATACTAAATGTGTGAAGCATCCAAAAAAGCATAAAAATTATTTATCATCCAGGGCCAGGATTTATGAATGTCTTATAAGAAGATACAGTGTACATCTCTCCTATATCCTAAGTCAGTGTTTTTCAACCTGTGGGTTGCAACCCCCAAGGGGGTCGCGAAGCCTTACACGGGGGGTCGCGGGTAAAAGAAAAAGACAAGTGTTTGTAGGTCCTACACTATATTAAAAAAACTACAAATTCAGCGAGAATTATGGCCCACCCCAGAAAATGATAGCGGAAAAAGTGTTGAGCTGATCTGCAAAAAGAAATAAAAATTAGAAACGTAGAAGCTGAAAATTCTGATCCTAAACAAAAAAAAAAAAAAAAAAAAAAGGTCAACATCTTCCTGTGCCGAATGTTATAATTAAAGGAAGTTTTCATACTTTATGTGTGTTAAGTTATTGTCGATTCTGAAATTTTCACTTTAATCAACAATACAGTAGAGCCTCGATTATCCGACCCCCGATTAACCGACACCTCAGTTAACCGACCGTCCTAGTCGGCAAATTTCAAATGTCCGCTAGTGATGTGGCGCTACAATATTTGGCTATGTCTTGGCTACTTTAATATTATTTTTACGTGTTTTAGCTGGCAACACTCATTCGACCATGAAAGGGAGCCAGTGTTTAAACAACGCTTAATTTTCTAATTTTTAACAATACAATAGCGACGATTATTATTTTAAAAAATTTTTGTTAGGCTTAACATTGATGAAAATTCAACGCCAAGTAGGTTAATAGCAATATACTAATATACTAATTACATGGGATATAATAATATACTACACTAATAATGGATTTTTTTGTACTTTTCGGTTATCCGACTTTTCAATTATCCGACCAACCCCTGTCCCCAATTGAGTCGGATAATCGAGGCTCTACTGTAATTTGTCTCAACAGAGAGAAAATTAAATACATAGTTTTTAAAATCACTGATATAGTTTTAATATGGCCCTAGGGGGGTCGCCAGAATTTTTTAACTTGTAAAGGGGTCGCGTATTCAAGAAGGTTGAAAAACACTGTCCTAAGTTATGAGAAACTAATGCTATTTTATATTTTGTATTCACAAAACATGTCAGAACTTATGAGGAAAAATAAAATAATTGGCAATAAGAATATGTCTTATGACACCACTAGTGACCACTTCTGTTTTAATAGAGCCAATAGGAAGATGTTTCAGAATTTTTCCACTGCACGTAGTAATTAATCTGTGGTCTGAAAAAAGGTAACATTTTATTTCTTCAAAATTAAAATGGATAACTAAACTGTAACTGACATAGGTGTGGAATGAAATCATCCCAAAATTGATACTGGTAATAGAAATATTGAAGAAGTTTGAAAGAAAAAATTGACACACACTCAGCTTTTTTGTTTAAAAAAAAACTAACAAATAAGAATTTTTCGAACAATATTCTATTTTCTTTCTTGGTGGAATACCAGCTATGTAGTGTTACAGATGAAGGATTATGGAATTTCCAAGAATTTTCTAATCATTCTATTAACAGTTTTAATTCATAACACCTTGGAAGTTTCATATGAAAAAAAGTTTAGAAGAAACAATAATAAAAAATGATCAACTCAATTATTTATCGACAGAACCAAAGACTCAACCACCAATACATTTACTTACAAAAGCTCTTATTGTATGTAGTAGTTACGAGACTTTTTACAATATTGTAGCTTAAGATGTGCTTCACAAACACAAGACTTTCTTCATCTGTCAACTTACAAGAATTTTATTGGCTGCGTTCAGTTTTGTATCTGTTGAGTACTTTTCTGCCAAACGCCCTTCACAGTAGCGCTGTTTTGGAACGTGTTTGGTATTTCAACATCACATTTAGTAGCATCTTTCATTTACACTACGTATTGCACCCGAAACTGACCAACAATGGCCGCTTTTTGTTCCAATGCATACGTCACTCGTTGTTCAGATGTAAATATGTAACAGCTACCGACTGAAACACCTTGCTCAGTTACAACTGTTGACTCTGCCGAATACAACCATTGTAACTTACAAGGTGTTTGTGAATCCAGGCCTGAGATCTTCAATGTATTAAGATGCATTTAATCCAAAGGCAGGTTTACAAACTTGCCTACTTGAATTTTATCAATAACAAGAGCTCGATCCGCTAAGTACTTCCAATTTCCGAGACGCAATCATACAATATTAAAAAAATCTGTTATGGAAGCTTTTACCCATACATCCCTATTGTAAAACATATGTTAGTGGAAATTTATAAATTTTAACATTTATAAATTAAGAAATGGTCATTTATGTTTATAATGAAGCTATATTATGAATCTGTATGCTTTATAATTATAGTAATACTTGTAAATAAGTATTTTATTTAGTTTCAATACTTAAACAAAACATAATAAGAGGTTTATTGATAGGAGTTAATTTTAGATCATTTTTATATACATTTATATGAGACAATTTACCTAAAGGTAACACCTACCGATTCATACATTATGCATGATATTAAAATTACCTTTATAAAATACTTAAGATACAATTAGAAACGAAACTTACAATATCAGTTACTTTCGGTCCTTTCGGTTTATCTTTACTTTCTTCTAACGCGAAACAACTAATGAATAATTGAAAAATAAAAAAGTAAATGAAGTTCTTCATGTTGCCGGTATCACTCAAAACACATTGACATTACGCTATGCATCGTGGGATTAGAAATCGTATACATGTGGACGTCCTCTATTGGACGATTTCGGTAACGTCATCAAGTAATTGTCTTTTTCGAATAAAAATTTACTAAAGTTTATTAATCTCGTTATTTTTTAATAAATATCAAGCTCTGAGTTAAATTATTTATTAATATATTTGAGTAATTGTAATTAATAAACTTTTTTATTGGCTGAATAAATATATTTTTCCCCGTTTTTTCCCTTAATCTCAACTACCGCAGCGCCAATAGCGACAAAAAATACAATTAAATAATTTGAGTGAATAACTTAGTTAAAATCTATTTAATAAATTAAAAAAAATTGCTGTTAATAGAATTTTTTAATGAAAAATATAAAAGCAGAAAATAATTCAGTCCCCGACCACCCGGCCGCCCCATTGTGGGCCTGGCCGAACCCATAATGGCTTGCTAATAGAAGCCCTCTTAGTGCCCACAGGGTGGAAGGAGTTAAAAATGAAGAGAATGTGAACAAACTTGTATTTCCTTTAATTTTAATGCTGTGGGAGATAATTTACGGATTTGGATTTCTAATTGTATCTCTGCTCCTCATCATAGATGTAGGCATAATACTACATGAAAACATGTCATCACTGCGTGAAATGATGGAAGAGGCCATAGAGAATGGAGAACCATTTTCGCTTTGTAATTCAGAAGAATGCTTATTATTGCGATGTTCTACTCGATATGGACGAAATGATTAGTCTAATTTTGGCAGTTTATTATATTTATCAGGTGGCAATCACTGTAACAGCTTTCTACATTGGAATATACGGCGAACACAGCGAAGTATGCATTCATATATGGAGGAATTCTTAGCAATATTATTTTTACTTTTTCAACTCTTCTAACTACAGAAATACCGAAAAGCGCAAGTTTCTATTTATTCTCTTTGATAAAATCTTTTTGTTTTATAATTTTCTCTTAACCTTTCTGCCTAATTGAGTGAAATTCTTTTTTCTATGAAGATTTCCTGTTATCAATTATACTTATCTAAGTTAATAGGGTTTATTACTAGAGCAACGTCTCATATACAATTTTTAAGCGTGGCATTTTCTTTGTAAATTTTATGTTGTAAGAATTTACACGATTATTGGTTTTATTCAGCGGTTCCCCACAATTATAACTGAGCAAAGGTGTTTTAATCGGTAGATCATACGTAACAAAGTGGATCTGCAGAACGACTAGTGACCTATGAGTTCAGCAGAAAAATATTCAACAAGTTCAGAACTGTTCAGTGTGTTAACGCCATCGCCAACTGTCAAGCGATTCTTTAAAATCATCGGTCATCGCATCCAGTTTCCCAATCTTTAAAGAAGACTATTTTGTTCGTAGTGTAAGTTATTTTATGGCAAAAATAAACGGTTTTTGTAAGGACACGTGTCATCTTTGTCTCCAGCATCGCCACCCACATACGATCATTCCGTAAGCTTTTCCTGACGCGCAATTAACTGTTTGCCCCTGGAAGTCGGCTTTCTTACAACTGTCATCGTCATCACCATCCCGGAAAACAACTTTTCCATACTCGAATTGATTTTTTACCACTGGTATCTGAGTAATGTTCAAAATTTCTTCATACACCTTGCCATTTACAGTTTCTTTTATAATATGAAGCTCTACTTTGCCTTTTGCTCACACAAAGCTCCATGTTTCTTCATGTGTTGTTTCTTAGTGAATGAGTTTATTTTGGCTTTACAAAGCGACAGTCTATTTCTTTTAATCGTTTACAAACCGTACGATTGACACGACAAATTTTTCATTTAACATTGAAGTCTTTGACGTGGCTTCTTCATTTTGTAGGTAGATGCGTTTTAAGGCATGATCTTTAATTGTTGTTTGCTCGTATCAGTCGGCCAGTTTTCTTTAATTTTATTTACAATCGAGGCACGCACGATACGCATTTGAATATTTCAATGCTCACTCGTATAAAAAGAACCCTATAAACAGAAAAATCATAGGAATACTTAGCGACTCTCCACTGTTGCAGCCGCCATTGCATAAATTTGTTGTCCCGGTGTCACGCGACCCGTCTTCGATGTCATTCTGTCACTCGATTACGTCTTTTCAGACAATTTTTGTTAAATTAAATAAAAATAATTATCTGAATTGGACAAAAATTGCAGGAGTTATAAGAAATTCACATACACGCATACGCGCGCACATATAAATACTGTATAAGGAGTGATTGTCACAGAACAATAGAAAATGAAATCACCCGTTAGTTTACTTTTCCATTTTTGACGAAGTATAAACCGGCATTTCTACCGAAACGAATTGAACACAGAAAAGATTGACCTCTCTTCTAACAGTTTCAATTGTTGTGAGACGTGTTATCGGCGAATTTCTTCTTGCGCTTTCGCTCTGGAATTCCCATCGATAGAGAACTTTTTCTCTTGAAAGGTTTGAAGGAAAAATCTCGTCATTGATTAGATTGGAAAGATAAATAGGAGGAGGCTCACTAGTGAAGCGGAAGATTATTTTGTCAGATAACACTTCTTGTAAGGAAAATGCAACTTACAATACTTCTTACGTCAATTTCGTAAATTATTCGCGTTACTTCGATGACTCAAATTTCTTAAATTCGTCTAAAGAAACTGTAAGTAGACTTCTTCTTTTCTGAACGTATTTTTTAATTCTGTAATGAAGACTGTAAGACATGATAATTGGAAGGGAAGTATCTTTGTAAATACTATTTCCTGGTGTAATTGTTTCTAAACATTGCACATAAATCAAGTTCGAAGTTGTTCGGTACAAACCAAATTAAATACAGTATATCAAAATTAAATAATTTTGATATACAGTCGACCCCCCTATAAGATCATAGATACGTTCCATTTTTTAGGAATCCGATTTCTTACGAGTCGTTCCAATCACAGCCCGACACGTGTAAAGTTTACGGACTACGGCTGATTGAAAGGTTTTCTTCCATAAAATTAATCGATTCTAGACTAATCCGACTCAACATTTCCAAAATACGTATATATTTTTTGGAAATAATCCGTATAAACTACGCTATAAACAAAAAATTGTAGGATTACTTACCGAGTGTGCACCATTCGACATCGCCATTGCTCAAGCTTGTTTTCGTCGCGAAGCAGCACACCAAACCACGGCCGATTTCTGATAACTTATTTTTCTGCGAAAACTTCGTTGAACTTCGGAGACATCATTAATATAAATAATTTTAATCGCCGTTGAATAAGAAATGTTTCTTTCACAAGAAATGTATAAAATTACAGTACTGTATTAGACTTACGGTACCTAATTTACATACTGTACAGACGATAGTTAGCGTAAAAATCTCCGTAGCGTGGCGCCACGCTAGACGGCGGAAATTATATATTTAATTATAACAAAGTTACAATAAGTTAATATATAATTATATATACAGTACCTAATTTATATATAATTAATATATAATTATATGTACAGTACCTAATTTATATATAATTTTTATAATACTGTCCAGACGATAGAAATCTCTGGCGGAAAAGCAGTTCGGCTGCCCGATGACGTTTAACGTAATTATAGGGTTTTTTTTACTGTTTTTTACGGATACCGTCACAATTTTTTCGCAGTTTTATAGAAATCGTAATTATTGGGACCGTAATTATAGGGGGGTCGACTGTATTTAATTTGATTTGGAAAATAAATATTGACCTCATTCCCGTATCTTATGTCACAGAATTTCTGTTATTTTCATATCCACTCTCCGCCAATACAAGGCATTTTTGTGTAGTAACGGAAGAATTGTTTTTGGGGCTACCAGTGGCCAACGGTTCTGTTCCCTAAACACTGGGAGTTCGGTCGTGGGTTCGCGCCTCGCCCGGGCGGGCTGGTTTTCTTCGTGTCCGTAACGCCTAAATACTGGCCAGTTACCCTTAAAAGACCTCCCGGAAGGCATTATTTCCCCCGTAACGACCATCATAAAAACGTATACAACTACTGTTACGTGACCATTTCGTCACGCTTTACTACGAGGCGATATAGCCTAGAAGGTAATAGCCAACTAACCAATACGAGAGAATAATTCCCGGTAAAACACGAGATGAGTGGAATTATGTATTTAGGTTATGTTTTCGTAAGAATAAAATTGAAGACGGTCGTCAAAAATAATAGAAAAATATGAAAAATTTTATAAAACAAAAAGAAAGAAGTAACAATGTGACAGTTGCAAGAAAGAATTCACTTCGGAGTACAGTTTAAAATGCCATCGAAGGATTCACATTGGAGGAGTGACTCTTTCTTGCAAATTCCGTAATCGTCAATCGGCATTGGATTATCATACGAACACACGTCATAATAGTAAGAATCTTGAATAATAATAATTTTTACTAAGCAAAACGATAACAAAAATGAAAATTTTCATCGAAGATGAAGAAATAAACTTTAATGTTTCTTTTTAGTGATTCAAACGTTTCAAATAAAATGTAAAAAACAGAAAATGTTTTCTAAAACTGTTTTTAGTAAATGGAAGTTTAATAATGAACTCTACTGCGCTTATTTTGTACAACGGGAGCCTGAGACTTACAAGTGTTTAGCTGTTTACATACTTTCTCTTTTTTTTTGTTTGTTAAACGTCCATATGACTTACACACGGAGACTCCAAATAATTTACAATACTTCTCTAATTGCCAAATATCTGCTGACTAAAAGGTTCCAGAACTCTACAAGCTACAAAAACGCATTATCATTCTAACACTATTAGGAATAATACCACAAATGTTACACTGTTTATTAATATATTTACGAAGAAAATTTTTATTTTTTGATTAAATTTACCGGAAAAGTTGGTTAGCCATTTGATTTACACTCCAGTTTACACGAAAACATTTAAGAACAAATAACCTTTAAATAATAATAATATCTTGATAGATAAGATCATTAAATTATTTTTAATATTCTAACTTTAAGATTTAAATTAAAATCTTTACATTTGAAAAATTTCTGCATTCCGATAAAAGTAGCCGTGGCATTTTCTGTTCTAGATTTAATTTCTTTAATGCATCTTCCATCTTCCTTTATGTTACTTCCCAAATACTTAATCGATGAAACTCTATCAATTGTTCTGTTTTCTATCTGCAACGTTGCATTATCTATATTTTTCTTGCGTGAAATAACTAGTTTTGTTCTCTTATAATTCGTCTGAAGTCCGTAGAATTTACTTTTTGAATTAATCTTTTAAGAAAATTTTTAAAACGTGACTCATCAGGTTTATAGTTTTATAATCACCACATTTTTTGCATTATCTTTTTTGGGAATTGTTATAAACGTAGACATTAAAAAATGTAGAGGAATTACACCACTTTCGTAAATAATGTTGTAAAAATCCACTAAAATGTCGAGACAGTCTTCGTCCAGTAATTTCAAAATTTCAGCGGGAACTTCGTCTGGTCCGGTAGCTTTACCTTCTTTAGTTGTTCCAATTGCATTTTCACTTCTATCTAATATATAATCGAGACGGGTTGATGATAATAATAATAATAATAATAATAATAAGCGCAGAGCCCAAACGGTTGGGAGTTGAAAGTTGAAATTTGGTACACAGATAGGGTATGTCACGAAAACGCACACTAAGAAGGGATTTTTCGAAATTCCCCCCGGGGGAGAGAGACAGGATTAAAACTTCTATATACATTATGGATACGAGCCCAAACGGTTAGGAGTTGAAAGTTGAAATTTGGTACACAGTTAGGGTACGTTAGGAGAACGCACACTAAGAAGGGATTTTTCGAAATTCCTCCCCACGGGGGAGAGGGACAGGATTAAGGCTTAACACTTCCATCAACAATGGAAGTGTTAAGT